AACATGCACACATGTGCCATCGTGAGTGATGGGGGACTTCACAGTTAGAACGTGTCGCTCTCCACAGAGCCAAAGTCCAGGGATCCCCACTCCACAGGGGTCATTTGCACTTCTGCGGCCAGCAATCATCTGTTTTACTTTCAGTTTCTCAGAGCCAAGGGCTCCAGGACGGCTCAGGCCCTGTTAGCCACAGCCTCACCACCTTGGCCCCATCCTCGTTTCTCCACGGCATTTCCCACTTTCCTTTCTAGAGGGGAAGGTAAAACCCAAACCTCTGGCCTACCCTTTGGTCTGGCCTCGCATCTAAGGCCACCCACCCCTGGCCCCTCTCTGCACTCAGGCCCCACCAGCCTCTCCCACTTCAGGGCCACCTGCCCTGCTCTGCGGCCTCTTGCACACAGTCCCCTCTGCACTGAGGTTGCTGTCCCACCTCACAGCTTCCTACCCACCTGACAGCCAGCTCAGTCCCACTTCCCCAGGGCCTCCTGGGCTATCCCAGGCCTCCCAGGCCTCCATTGCAATCTGAATTGCCACATGAATCTGCGTTATGTAAATTTGAACTTTGCGGTTTTAAAATAGCAAAGGCTAAAAATATCAGTAAAATCTCTTTGTGCTCAAATTTGGAAATAATGCAAGTCTCCAAACTTAAAAGAAAAAAAAAAAAACGTCGCTCAGGGCCACACTTTGCTAGCTACCTTTCCAAAGACCTGCGAGCCTGTCTGCAGGTCCTGCCTCTGGTGGCCTCTCAGCAGCCAGTGAACAGATGCAGTCCAGGCCCCAGGCCACCCGGGGGTCATCAGGTGTGCATACCACACAAGTGTGCGGTGGTGCTCACTGTTGTGAGAGTTCTCCTAGAGGCTCTCGTGCGTGGTGTTCTCTGGTAGCGATGCTGGGGTTAGGGCTGGGACTGGGAATCTTGGTGACACTGAGGTGGGAAGGCCAGTCCTCAAGACGCCTGGTACCAACTGATGTTCAAAATGGTAGAGGGAGGCCAAGAGGAGAAAAGAGCCGACGGGGACAAGAATGTGCCAGGCTGGCTTGAGTTTTACACTCCTGTGGCACATTGTTCCGGAACTGAGTTATGAATCATGTTGGGCCACAGCTCATCAGTAAGACACAAACCCTGTGTGCTATCTCTGTGATTATGTGACTCCCCGAGACTCTCCATTTTTTCCCCCTTTAGAAATGGCAATTTTGCTTGATGTTCCCATTTTGATTTCTATGGGAATAGAGGCCTTCATAGAAAGTGGGGTCCCTGATAAGTGGGGAAACTCAGAGCTGAGAGGTGCAGGTGGGATGAGACAAAGGAAAAGGTGTCTGGGCTTCTACGGGTGATAAAGTCTCGGAAGGCAATTACATGTTTGAAAGTAACAGAAGAAAGGGGTATGTAGGAAGGCTCTGTCTCAGCCAACTTGTCTTCTTGGCACTGTCTCTGGTGATGAAGGTCACTCTCTCCTTTGCTGTATGAGAGACAGGGGTCACGGTCACAAGGAAATGTGTATTCTGCTTTTGGGCCAACAGGGGGAGGCAGAGAGCTTTTCCTGGATCTGTTTTTTTCTTAACTGCCTTCAACACAAAATCATCTTTGTCACAAATGCATGTTTTGGGGTGGCACATTCCATATTCTATCCCCTTCAACCTAGAGCTCCAAATAGATTCTGAGTGAACAAAAAAGCAATAAATGTTAGCATTAAAAACAACGTGTCTGCTCAGAGGGCTCTTCTGCAGGGCTCCTCTGGCCCCAGTCCTGTCCCTACAGGGCAGCCAGCCTCAGGGGCCCTGGGAGGCGCTGCTGAAACCCCGTCGGAGACTGAGCTAGGTTCTCGGCTGCTGCGGGCAGGTGGGTCTGGGTATTTGCAGGCCTCACTGGTTTCTTTCTGGTTTCTTCTCTTATGAATTTGAGGAATAAAATCCACGGGAAGTGAGGGCTGAGTGTAAAAGAGGAGGATTTATTCCAGTGATAAAACAGAAGCGGGGCTCTTGCAGCAGGAGCGAGGGGCCAGGCGGCAGGTTTCACGTAGGCGTGCTGGTCTGGGGATAATATGGCTGCTGGGTGGAGTCCTTGGCCCATCTGTGCTAACCAGGTACTAGAAGAGCGTCAGGGCTATGGGTTGGGCCCTGACCCTCTGATTGGCTGTGACTTCCCTAGGCCTTGACTTTCCTGTAGCCTCTATTTAGATGTGTCTCTACTTCTGCTTTCCCACCACTCCAGGACAAACGGCCATTTTATCTCTTCTCTGGGACCAAGGCGTGGCTGGAGCATTTGGGATATTTCTCCAGGGACATTTCCTGGAGCCCTAATTGGTGCGGTGGCTCACACTTATTATCCCAGGGACAGGGAGGCCGAGGCAGGAGGATCCCAAGTTTGAGGCTAGCGTCAGCAGCATAGTGAGACCCTGTCTCAAAATAAAAAAAAAAAAGGCCTGGGGGTGTAACTAAGTGGCTAGGCACCCCTGGGTTCAATCCCCGGAACCCCAAACAAACAAAAAGACAACACAATACAACAAACCCCCCAAATGCCCCAAACAAACCAAACCAAAAAAAAAAAAAAAAAAAACCAAACAAAAAAACAGCCTCAATTGGGTCCCGCTGCCGTGACTGTCTGAGGGTTTTACCGGGTCCTGTCCTCTTCCCTGTGAGCTCTTTGACTGAAGACTGAGTGCGCTGTAAGTGTCCCACGTTGGCCGTGGCTGCTGCCATGAGTGGTAACTACATCATCGCGATGGCCGGGTGTCACTAGTGTTACCACACCCCTCTCCACCCTGCAAGCAAGTGACACTGTTCCCCAGCCTTGCTGTCAGGAGCAGCCTTGGGAAGAGAGGCTGCCTGTGAGGCCCAGGGCTGAGGCCCAGTGAGTGGGCCTCATGTCTCCCCGCCAGAGGGTCCATGTCGTGGGGACAGGCACCGTGTGTGGTCACGAGCCACCCTCCTGTGCCTAGAGGACTGTCAGGGAAATACTAGATACTTCTAAATGTTTACTGCATGATATTTGGCGGGTGATACGTCTGCAGTGGCCACGTGGCCCATGGGTTCTGGAAACTCTGGACTGGACTTGCTAAGACTCTGAGGGGGAGGCTTTCTGAGACACTGAGTAGCAGAACTATGTATTAGATTAATTACTAGAGAAGGAGGACGTTACCTGCACATTGATAAGGGTTATGGAAATTTATTTTCTGCATGAACAAACCACAGAACGGGCAGAGGACCCCACCTGTTAATCCAGAAGTCGACAACTCTGGAGGAAGCCAAGAGCTGGGTATAAAAATGGGTGGGTGTGTGATTTTGGGCTGCGGATGTAGCTCAAGTGGTAGTGCGCTTGCCTGGCATTCGCGCGACTCTGGGTTCAATCCTCAGCACCACATACAAATAAAATAAAGATGTTGTGTCCGCCGAAAACTAAAAAATCAATATTAAAAAATTCTCTCTCTCTCTCTCTCTCTTAAAAAAAATTCACTTTAAAAAAAAAATGGGTGGGTTTATGATTTCAAATGAATAGAAGGGAGAAGTTTAGATCCTGAACCTAACTTCTGCGCTCAGTGTGTTTTCCAAGTGGATTCACACTGTACCCTTTTCCTGATGAGGTTGACCTAGACACGTTTGAATGTGTGACATTTCCAGGCACATGCTGGTGCCCAGGACGAGGCCACCAGGGAGCAGGACTTCAATACCACAGCACTGGATGGTAACGTGCTCAGGATTTAGACTGCGATTGCACCAGTCGGAATGCAGGCGTCAGACGCGGTCATTCTCTGTGCCAGAAGAAAGGGCTAGGGTCACGGTCAGTGTGCATTACTACGGCAAAAGGCCACACGCCACAGCTCGAGGGCAGACAGACTCTTCCCACGGTTCTGGAGGCTAGCAGCCTCTGATCAAGGGCCGATGGTCTTCCTGGCTTGTAGGTGGCCCTTTCTGGTGCACGTGGGAGGAGAGGGATGGGGATGGAGATCTCACGTCCTCAGAGGACACTACCCGCCTCAGGTGTGCCATCCTGGGGACTTCACTGTGGCCAAAAGCTCCACTTGAGGAATTAGGACGCCAACATATGATTCTGTGTCTCTCTCTCTCTCACACACACACACTTCAGTCCACAGCAGCTAGAAAACAATGTCTGGTTTGTGAAAGGGAAGGTGTTTCTAGGATTTCTGCGCTGAGTCAGAAAAGGGAAGCCAGCCTGCCCACCCTCCTTCTCTCCTTCTGCAGAAGGTTGAATCTTCAGCGTCTTCCACTTAAAATGATCTTGAAGTCAAAGTGACACGTCGGACCCCCTTCAACAGTAAGGAACAGCACCCTGCCCCTTCTCCCCACTTATTTGCATTTGTGTCTTTCTTTAATATGTGCTTTCTACCCCTTGGGCCTACTATGTGCACACAGCCTGAATTCTGCGTCCCCTGGGAATGTTAAACTACAGTAGGAGAGACAAGATCAGATAGTCACAGAAACTCTTCTGTAGGCAGACGGTTCAATACTGGGTAGAGCAGGGTCTTCTTTAGAAATGTCACAGCGCTCTGAAAAGGCCAGGGTTTTGTGTACCTCTGAGGAGCCGGGTGGGATGGAGGCCCAGGTCTGACCTAGTCCCTGGGGGCTGGTGAGGTTGCAGGCTGAGGTGGACTTGGTTCTCAGGCAAAGGCTCCAGGGACACTGTGCCTCATTCCTCAGGGCTGTCATGTGCCACCTCTTGTCACTCTAGATTTTATTTTCCCCCAATCTAGCTGCTCTGTGTTGGATGCGAGGTGCCCGCAGGAGCAGGAACCGGTTTCACCAGCGCCTGGGCTTCTTCTGTGAGGCCGGGAGGAGCAAGGTGGTGGCCAGCCAAGGTCCTTGGAGTCTGGGGGAAGGGGGCTGACAGCCTCGGGCTGGTGGAAAAACCACCAGGACCCAGGCTTTGGCCTGGGAGGCTGGGAGGGCTGGGCGGAGGGGAGCTGAAGAGGCCGGAGCCTCTGGATCCTAGGCCCGGCCGTGCCTGCGAGCAGTTGTCTAATGATTAATGCAGAAGGTGCGGCGCTCACCTGTGTGCGTGTGGCCCCGCCTGTGACAGGACGGGGTCATTTCAGGAGGAACTTCCTGTTAGCTGGTGAGGAGAAATCGGAGTTCTGTGGCCGCCAGAGGATCAGCTCGCGCGCCCTGTAGAGAAGCCAGCAGCCTGGAGTCTCCGGGAGAGGAACCTTCCTGGCAGCCCGAGGTAGGACACTGCGCTGGCGCTGCAGTTGACCCAGGTCTGCCGGGGTCTCTCCTGGGTCTCCCATCAGGGCCTGGACGTTCACCCCACCTCACGTTTGCCTTCCAGCCTCCGCGGAGTTAAAAATTAAAGGACAGGCCTGCTCGGAGGAGTCGGTGAGTGTCCCTGTCACGGGAGCTGCTCCTGGGAGTGTGGAAGGTCCCAGGGAAGCGGTTCCTTGGGCACTTGGAGAGGCCGTGGCTCCCCAGCGAGGAGGCCCACGTTTTGTTGTCTTGACTTTCTAAGAAGCTGGGCCCCGGCAGGCAGTCTGCAGGGTCCAGGGAGAGGCGGGCCCTGCTGCGGGGCACTCCTCCCTGCCAGGCCCCACTCGGTGCTGCTGGGGTCGGGCTCCTGGAGCTGCCTAGACCAGGACGTTCGCAGGTGCTTTTGGAAGTTACGACATCCAACTCCTCCCGATCCCTAGAGGGAAAGCCGGCTCAGACCTCTGCTCTTCCCGAGCAGGCAGCTTGGCGGTGCCTGCCAGAGCTTTCCCAGGGCTCCTCCGGCCAGTAAGGAAGGGGCAGGGGTCAGGCCCTGCCTGAACGGCCTGTCAATGCAAGACGGAAGAAGACTTTGCAGTTTTTCAACTACAGGTGCATCATTGGGATCCTTCCATAGTGGGATGGAGGAGGAGTCACGCCCCAGGGCTGCTCAAACTCCCCCGAGCAACTTGTCTGATTTAAGTTGCACTTGAAATCCTCGGTGTGGTCCTGCCCCAACTGAACCCAGCCTCTGAGCCCTGTGTGTCCTCACCAGCCCATGACTGTAGTGACCGCACTGGTCCTGCTCTTGGACTCCCCCCGTCCGCTGTGCTGCCCACCCCAGACCTTGCTGGAGCATGAGACAGCCATTTTCCGGGGTGGAGAGCAAGAGAGGGGGACGGCATCTCCCAGGGGACCTTAATCCGTTGCTGCGGTTTCCATAACTCTGGGCCACCTCCCCAGTGACTGCTTTTGGTAAAAACGTCTCACTTCCGTAACCGGCAGGGTGGATTTCTCCTCATTCTGTGCCGGGCCTTGCATTCCAGGCGACTGTAAAGCCATCAGCTGTCCAGTGGCGCTAATTGATCCTTGACAACTGGTAAATGATTGATGGGGCGCTGGGCGGCTGAGGTGTCGGAGTGATCTCAGAGCCGGGATTTCATTCTGGTTTGTGCCTGGCCGAGGCGAGATTTGGTGCTAAGACATTTGCTGGGTCTGTTTGAGGCCAGCGCAGGGGGCCGGCTCCTGCGGGGGCAGCGTGCCGTGAGATGTTTGAACCTTGAATCAAGGGGAGGAGTCGTTGCGGTTTTCTTTCCAAAGAGAGCAGAGAAATATAAGGCCGAGACCCCCTTCCTTCTCGGGAGCTCTGAGGACCTGTCGTGAGATGAAATGTTCCCTGAGTCCTGGGCTGGAGCCGCTGGCTGCCGGGCACACGGACCCTGGGCAAAGCACAGGGTCGCAGCCCAGGCGGGCCTGCTTGGGGTCTCGCACTGCTGCCTCTGGGTCGGCTGTGGGGCCTGCCTTCTTAGGCCAGCCCTGGCCTGCTGTGCCCCCACACCACAAGGTCCCACCACAGGGTCTCTGGTGGGACAGGCTGTGGAGTCCCATGGGTGCTAAAGCTGAGTGAGAACCACCTGCCTCTCTGCACACCTGTGAGGGTGGGGGGAGGGCCGGGAACACCCTAGCCCCAGGCACAGGGTATCGCTCCTGCAGGGTGCGTTCCTGCCCAGGTGTGCTAGCCTTCAACTGCCCCAAGGGACCCACAGTTCTGGCAGGTGCCTGGAGAAGGAAACAGCAAAGGCAAAGAAGCAGGTGGGGGGTGAGCCAGGAGGCCATCAAGGAGAAGGGGGACTTGGAGGAAGGGTCGAGGGGTGTACATGTGGGGCCTGGAGTGCGGCTTAGTCGACCCTGACCTCCTGGACCCTGAAGGTACCCCTCACTCAGCCACAGAGCTCTAGGCTCTCTCTCAGCATGCCTGGCCCCGCCCACCCCAGGGCCTTTGTACCTGCTGTTCCCCTGCCAGGGGAGCTGCTCCTGCAGAAGTGCACACAGAGGTTGCCTTGCTCACTCTCCTCCTCTTAGGAGCCTGCGCAGCTGGCGAAGATGATAGCTAGACCCCGCCCCATGCACACCCCTGCCCATCCCATTTTCTCCTCACCTCTTGCACCTTCAGGAGATGACATGATCGATTGATCTGTTTTGTCTTCTCTGCCTTTGTGAGAGTGTAAGCTCCTGGAGGGCAGGACTTTTTTCTGACTGACAGGGAGGGTAGGAAGCCACACTGTACCTCTCAGTGGGCCGTGCAGGGCTCTGGCTGCACCAGCTGCACCCCATCATTTAAGGGAGGGCTGGGGTAGGGTCGCTCTCTTCATCTGGCGTCAGAGCCCCGGGGGCTTGTGGGGACGCAGGTGGCTGGGGCACCCCTGAACAGCTGGTCCAGCGGGGTGGGTGGACCCGAGAATGTGCCTTGCTGTCAAGTCCCCCGTGAGCCTTTTGTTTCTGCGTGGACGCCAGGAGCTGCGAGGGCTCAGGCCGTCTCTGGGTGGCAGGTGCCTCTTGGCGTGGGGTGTCACCCACTTGCCTTTCTATTCCAGGGTGAGGAAGAACATGCGGAGATGGAGGGCGGCTGGAGAGAGGTGCTGGCCATGCTGCTGGTCCTGGCTGGGCTCGCAGGTAGGGTCACAGGGCTGTGGACTGGTCACCGTCTGCTGCAGGCAGGGTGGTGGGCACACAGCTGCCCGAGGGCACCTCCCAGTGCACGGCTGTCCCTGGGCCTCCCTCCTGGTGGGATGCTGTTCCTGCTGGGAACTGACACCACGGCCCACGTCGGGGCTTGGCTGAGACTTGGGGGACCACATCAGGGACCTTCCCGAGGCAACGGCACTGCTGAGATGTCCCTCTCACCCCTGTCAGTGTCTACCTGGCTTTCAAGGAAGGGGGCCCAGGTGTCACCGCCTCGGGGTGCCTGTGGTTTCCAGGGTGGGTGCCCCGGCTGCCACGCATCCCCAGGTGAGATCCATGGTGTGACAGTGCCCCCTGGGTGTGGCTGCTCCGGGACATGGTGGACACACCCAGGTGGAGCGGACTCAGGTTGAGGCCCAGCCTCCCTCTTGCTCACTCGAGTCTGCACGCCCCGCTTTGGTCTAGCTGGTCTTGTCTGGCTCCGCGGCTCCCGGAGGGCTTCAGCTTGTCTCCCTGACTGGTCAGATGTCCCTCGGCATCCCTACAGCAGGACTCGCAGGCGTCATGCAGAAGGACAGTGCGTGTCCAGGAGCGCACTGTGTCGTCCAGGTGCAGGGCCAGGGTTATCAGGGCTCGAGCCTCCGTGCCATCCGCTGGGCATGGGGCCTCCCTTCGCTCCTCCCCAAAGTGGCCGCTGTTCTGACCTGTCACTGCACGGACAGTTGTGGCTGTTTTTTAGGTCCCTGTGTTCTCTATTTTGGATGCTAGACACAGCCTTCCAAAAATCTGGTCATGTCAGCATCAAAAAAAATAAAAGGGGGGGGGATAGAACAGAACAGGAAACGTGGGGCATGTTCCACGCAGCAGGGGCGCTGCGAGAGGCTCGACTGGGGGTGATTTGCATGTGAAGTCTAGGGGCTCCAGACTGTGGTGGGGAACGCACGCAGGGCACAGGGGCCGGGAGACTCTGTCCTATGGCGTGCGGGTGAGTTGGTCGGAAGGTGCTTGCCAGACGTTTGTCTGCAGAGTGGAGGGGGGAAGAGAGCCCCCGGCGGGCTGAGCCCAGGGCTGGCCAGCCACCCTCAGGACTCGTTGCAGGGACACGGCACTGTGTGGGCCTCTTCTAGCCACGGCCGCAAGACCCTTCAAAGGTTTGTCCGGCAGTGATGAACTCTGGCTTGGATTTTCTTAGAGGTTTTTTCCTGGTGTAGCTGAGCCTCGTGCACTGGGTTGAGGCGGGGAATCTGGCTGATGTCTTGTCTAGGAGGCCGAATGTCGTGGGCTAATTCTAGAGCCCTGGGGAGGGGCCCATCCTCAAACTGGTGATGAATACCAATTTGGAAATGCGTTGCCGCCGCTTCACTTAGGCTTCACCTGCAGAGACCTCTGAACACCTGGGGGCAGCGCCTGGGGACACCCAATCCTCCCTCTCCACCTGGCCCGTGGTAGCTCTCCTGATACGGAACTCGACCCCTTGATTTATTCACTAGTAACTGTGCGCAGAACTTCTGTTGTGTGCCACTTGTTTCCGGCACTGGGAGCATGGCCGCGTATAGCCAGGCATGATCCTTGTTAACACCGAGCTTAGAGCCTAGTAGGGGAACAGGATTTGAGATCCTGTGATAGGATCATTTAGCCTAAATTGGGTATTCTGAAGGTTTCCCTGAGGAGGTAGCATCTGGGTGTGGAACTGAGGAGCAAGTGAGACTGGTGTTCCAGGGTGGTCAGCATGTGTGAAGGCCCTGGGGCTGGAAAGAATTGGTGAGTCTGATAAACTGAAGGTCCAGTGGTCCGAGGTGGAGTTGGGGCCAATTGAAGCGGCTGTGGGACTGTGAGTTCAGTCTTCAGCATTAGTTGGTCTGTCCTAAGAGGAGAGACTCACTGAAACCAAGTCTGGGGTGTGGAGTGGGAGGTGGGGCAGGGTTGCCCGATCAGATGCCTGACTGTGGCATGCACAGCAGCTTTGCGGGGACTGGTGGTCTACGGGTGATCTCGACTCTTCCTGGGGACCTATCCCAGGGCCTGAGCTGGGAGCTCACCTGCCCCGGGCCCTCCTTCACGTCTCCTTGTTCTGGCTCCTTTCTCGCCTTCCAGAGCTGCGTCCCAAAGCAGCGCTCTCTCTGCCCGCCCCTGTCTGTCCCCTGCTCCTCCTGGGGGAGCCCCACCTCCAGCCCTGCTTTCCCATCCATCCCACGTTTTAGGTAGGAGAAGAGGGGACGAAGGGGCTGCCCGTGTGGCAAGGAGCCAGAGAAGAGGAGCCTGGGAAGATGGAGGGCGGTCCACAAGGCTCCCACAACCTGAGCCGGGGTGGTGACGGCCCCTCAGGGAGCAGAGGAAAGGCCTCCCTCCGCAGGAGTGACGCGGAGTTGAGGGTCCCTTTGTGGAGGACAAGCGGGAGCCACAGAGGCTGCGAGCGTGCTGCCCCTGTTTCACCTGGAGGTGCCAGGCTGGGGTGAGAGGGCGGGGAATCGGGTCACTCTTGGGTGGCAGCTGGTTCTTGTCCTCAGAGCAGGAGAGCAGCCAAGGGGCCGGGGCTGGGAGCTGGGAATTGAAGAGCCCCGGGGAGAAGCTTCCAGGAGGACCAGCTGCTGTGGACGGAGCCAGGACCTGGCGTGGCTGCCAGCCGCAGCTGGGCTCTCGGGCGGGCGGGCGGGCGCCTGATCTTTCCCAGTTTCTCTTTGCTCTTAGGGGAGAGGGCCAGCTGGGGGAAGGGGAAGGTTCTGAGCAGAGGTTCTGTTGGTTAAAGGTCTTATTTACAGTTTTCTCCCACTCTTCCCAGTGGGGCAGGCTCGCACACTCAGCTGCAGGTAAGATACGAGGCCATGACCAGAAAAACAGCTTCTGACTCAGGAGGCCTGGCCCGGGCGGTGGCTGAGGGTTCTAGCAGGACTGCGGAGCTGTCAGGGGAATTTGGTGCTTAGCATTTGGTTCCTCCTGTTTGTGATTTAAAGGCCCATCAAACCCAAGGGGTTTCCATCCCACACAGACCCCCTTCCCCCCTCCCATCTCCCCAGCTGCACCGGAAGCCTCACCCCTGGGTGCTGGGTTCTTCATCACAGTGCAGGCTGACTTTGGAGTGAAATGACGTGCCCGCCCCGTGCCCAGGGCTGGGAGGAGGTCTGGGTTCAGAGGGGCTTGCTTGGAATTGCCTACTGGGATCCTGGGGGCAGGCTCGGTTCCCTAGCCCCACTGGGCACGTCCACCCCTCGTCCACCTGGCCAGGTGAGCTCAGGAGGCCTGTCATCAGAGTGTGGAGCTGGGGCTGAGCTTGCTTCTTCCCTTGGGGTGAGTCTGCCTGTCCTTGAAGTGTGGCTCAGGGCTCAGGGGAGCAGGGGGCTCCCGCGTGGCTTCCCTGGCACTCATGTCTGATTCCCCCTCTTGTGGCTTTCACTTCTGTAGCTGAAGATCAAAGCTGTGGGCCGAGCGTCTTGCCCAGGTCAGGGAGGGGATCCGACCTAAGTGTTTAAAGTCACGCTTTGTCTCTTTTTCTGTCATGCTCCCGTCAAAACAAAGAATGGTGATTGTTTTCCCGGATCCTGGATGAGCTTCCTGGGCCCTGACCTGCCCCAGCTCTGCCCCAGCTCTGCCCTGGGCCAGCAGGTCCTCCTGGTCTCCTTGCCTGGCCCGCAGCGCTTCCCTCCCTCGCGTGGTTCCCGCAGGAGGCAGCGCTATTCCTGCAGTGCCTTCTGGGTGCTCAGTGAGGTGCCCGTGGCAACGTGTGTCCTTCAGTGTGGCTCTTCCCCAGGAGCCGCAGGGCCGCGGGGAGACTCCTCTAGAACCTGCCTGACACTTGACCTCTACATGGCAGGCCACCTGGCTGACTGGGGGTGGTTCCTAGGACACCAAAAGGCAGCAGGAGAGTCCTGATGGAGAGAAACTAGGTTTGGGGTGCTCCCCGGGCCAGGCTCTTCCTCTAGTGGCTTCAGAGGCGAAGAGCAGGGGATTCAGAGTGGGGAGGCCCGAGCTGGCCCAGGTCCACCACTGTGACTGCGAGTGCCGAGGGGTTGCTGGTGGACAGGGCTGCTCCTCTGCAGTGTCAGGGAGGACCTGTTCACACCGCTCCGCTCCCAGTGGGTACCAGTGACCGTGGGTGTCTCTTGCTTGGAGGCCCAGGGCTCCATTCCCGGCCTCTATCTTCATTGGGTGGCCCTCTGTCCTTTCTCTTATGGGGGCACCTAGGATTGGACTTAAGGTCTGTCTCAAATCCAGGCTGATTTCACCTGGAGTTCCTTAACTCACCACATCTGTGAAGGCCTTATTTAAAAAGGTCACATTCTGAGGTGGACCTGGTGGACATGGACTTTTAGGGGACAGTATTCCACACAGGGCGGGGAGGAGACTGGAAAGGAGGATGCGGTGGTGGCCTGGTGTCCACGGGGAGCTCCTGGTCTCCTGGGGGCGCCCTGGAGTCAGGACCAGTAAGATGGGGTCCGAGCCGTGGGGTGGACGTCCATTGGGGGCACAGCTGGTAATATAGCGGGCCACCACCTTGAGCATGGGTTGTTTTCCAGCTCCTGGATCCGGTTATCAGATCATAGAAGGTCCCCACAACGCCACCGTCCTGCAGGGCTCCGAGGCTCGCTTTAACTGCACCGTGTCCCCCGGCTGGAAGCTCATCATGTGGGCCCTCCAGGGCACGGTGGTCCTGAGCGTCACCCCCAGGGAGCCCATCATCACCAGCGACCGCTTCACCTCCCAGAGTTACGAGGACGCGGGCGGGAACTTCATCTCCGAGATGATCATCCACGACGCGCAGCCCGGCGACTCGGGGTGGGTCAGATGCAGCCTCCAGAACAGTGACCGGGAAGGACTGGCTTTCCTTGCTGTCCAAGGTGTGTGTCCAGGTGGCCCCCACCCTGGGAAGCTGCGGTCCACTGGGTTGGCCATCGGAGGGTCCGAAGGGGCCTTATGAAGTCGAGGCCACACAGGGTGGCCCTGTTCTGCCTTCGGCTGGTGTCACCCTTGCCCTTGGAGAGTGTGGTGTTTGTCACTGTCCTCCCTCCCTCCCTCCCCCGTCCCCATACAGCCCGGCCTTCAGTTTGCAGGGTGTAGAATCGCCCAGAACTAATATTTACTGTTTGTTCTTCGTCTCTCTCCTCCCTCCCTCACCTCTCCCTTTCCTTCTTCTTCCCCTTTCTCCTTCCTCTGCTTTTTTTAAAAAAGACTGTTGGGATGGGCTTTGTCATTCTGGTCCCTTCCTGTCTCTCCCGGCCTTTCTGGACCCCATCCCTGCATCCTGCAGGATCAGGGACAGGCGCTCTCTCTGCTGCGGAGATGCGTGACGATCACGGTCCCTTCTCTGGTTTTCCCTAGACGTCACCGTCTTCCTTTGCATACATTATTGACCAACTTTGAACATGCTTCAAGTTCCTTCTCTTCCTGGCTGAAGTTCCCCCACCTCGTCCTCTCCCCGCCCCTACTGCAGTGGTTATTACAGTCAAAGGTGTGTGTCCATCAGATACACCGAGCCTCTGAGAGAGAAGGGACGTAAACATAATGTGTCATGATGATAACTTCTTTTCTATTCTTAAAGGTGATGCTGAGATTCTGAAGATCATGTTACATACTAGGGGAAAAAAGTAAAGGGATGCTTGGCCAAGGATCTAGAATATTCTGATCCAAGCTCAATCCCTTTGTCGTCTTTCGCAGTATATTTATGTACTGTTTATAGAGGCACAGGAACTAGTGGGGTTCTGGGTTTCCATGTTAGCACTACTTACAAGAGACTGTGCCATATCTTTGAAATGATTTCCTACATCCATTTACATATTTGCCTCAGGGAAATTCCCAAAGATTCTGTCTATGTTCATGTTGCTGACATATCAGATTTCATAATATTCGATGGAGAGACATGTCTATTTCTATTTGCTTTTTTTAAATGATTTTTTTACTGTAGAAATTGGTGAGCTACTGCAGTGTGTCATTCATTTTGTGTGGTTTAATGAGAGTCCAATAACATTTTCTAAGTAAGTGATCCTCTGAGGCCACCTAGGACCGCTGGCCTTTTGCACGAGCAGCTTCTTGCGATAATGACTTGTGGTGTAATGGAAAGAACACAGGACGAGAGCGTCAAAGGCACGAGCTCTGCGTGGCTTTGTCTCCCAGGAGACAGCTACCTCATCTTTTAAAAACCGGGATGAGGCTTCCCTGCCCACATCCTAGGCCTGCTGTGAAGACCAGGTGCACAAATGACTCAGGATGGTTTGGGGACTCCAAAGTCCCTTCCCTTCAATAGATGACAGCAGAGCCAGGGCCACAGTGCCACACATTACTGTGACTTGAGGCCTCACTGCCTGGGGTCACGGTTCAGCTCTATGGCTAACCCCTGGTGTGACCCAGGACATGGCGTCCAGTGACCTTGTGCCCTAGTTCCTTCGCCACAGGGCTGTCGTTGATGGAGGATGGATAAGGCTGGACACCCAAGGAGTTTTCAGGAAGCAGGTTTACTTAGGCTGCAGTGCTTCAGAGGGGCTCATGCCTATAAATCTCTGGATTTCCCAGAGTCTGGAAATTCCTTTGGAATAGACAGTGGCATCGGAGGGAACATGACAGCTACTCTCTGTCCCATACTCGTAGGCTAGACAGAAGCTTCACACGTTGTGTCTGCAAAGCTGGCATTTACAAGAGAGAGGAAGCTCTGAACCACAGTGAGCTCTCTGCAGATCTCCTGTGAGATCCTGTTGGCGCTCTTTGTAAAAATCTTTCTGACAAGAGGAGAAGCTTAATTCTGGTGTGTGTGTGGGTCTTTTGGGTGGGGGTACCCAGTCTGCTTCATCATGGCATCTCAAAGGCGGGTCTGTGGAAGGTCTTCAGCACAGCGCTGGGCTCAGCGTGGCCCCAGGACCATTGGCTTCGTATTTCTTGGGTTCCTAAAAAGGGCAGGCGTTTCTGTGCGACTCAAGATGAAAAGAGGAAGACACAGCTCCTGTCCTCAGGAGCCCGACAAGACCAGGGAGAGGCAAGTGGCCACACAGGTGCTGGCAGCCGTGGGGGAAGGAGGACAAGATTGGGGACCCACAGGGAAGGAGGTGACGGGCTCTGCCACTCTCCCAGAGCAACTTCCCAGAGAAGGCTTCGTCCGCGGTGTGCCTGGGAGGTCGCGGGCCTGGAATCGGGAGCGAGAGAGGAGGAGGGAGCCTGGATGGGGAGTGGAGCATGGAGGCTCCTCTCCCAAAGCCGCGAGTCCACAGGGATGTCTGAGTACGCCCAGGGCACATCCTTCTGTATGGTAACTGCTGTCATTTTTGGGTTTTAATACAAACGAAAGAAGAAGCTTCTAGGGGAGGCAGAACTTTCTCCAGGGTTGTGCAGAGGAAACCCACAGGGCTGGGGCTGCGTGCCATCATTTCACCACGGCTCCATGGGTCTGGGTGGCACTTTGTCGTTGGAGGAACAAATGTTCTCTGAGCAACAAGGTCTCCTCGAGGGAGAAAGGCATCTTGAGAAAAGAGAGGACATGCCCACCAATTACCCAACGATGCTCATTTTCCCTACCCGTAGCAATAAGGAGCACGAAGAGTGGATGGAGCTCCAGCTGGAGTCATGCAAACTCTGTGGGAGCGCTGCAGTCATCCTCCTGTGGACAGAGTGTGTCCTGCTGCTGGATAAGCTCCGTGAAGCCAGCGGGGAAAGTGGAAGTCCAGCTGGGCACAAAGAAAATGCTCCAGATGGCTGTGTGGGTCCTTTCATCAGCCGTCTACCACTTGACCCCTTCCCAAACGGCCCTGGTGTTTTGAGGACCACTTGGCCCAGAGTTCCAGGTCCTCCGATCTTGTCTGAGGCCATACTGTTCCTTCCAGGGTCTGCATCTTAAGACCCCTCTCCATCAGACAAACAACGGACAGACACAGGACAAGTGCAAAACCCTGTGGACATAAGGGGCAGGCCCTTTCCCTGCTCTCATCGCATTCACAATGGCCCTTGAATTAGCAAAGGTGCCTTCTTACTCCAGGGAATATTCAGGAACGGAGGAGTTGGAAGTCTCAGAGTAGGTGGGTCAGGCCGAGCTGCTCTGGTTCGCGGGGCCTGGGACTGCTCAGCACCCAGGACCTCTCCAGGGCGTCAGTGGAACCACTGGTGGTCTCAGAGTTCCCAGATGGGGGCTGGTTTCTGCTTTCCATCTGGCAAGTGCACAGGGAGCTTTTGGCTGCGCACTGGGAAGGTCTACAGGGCTCAGCAGGCCCGCGCTTTCCCCAAGTGAATAGGGACAATGGTACAAAGTCACGCGAGGACAAAAGGCCCCAAGTGCCCACTGGAGAGGAGGAAAGTCCCTTGGTCCAGCTTAGGAGTCCATGGTGCCACCAGCCTTGAAGAAAGCTGAGCCGCTGAGCTTTGGTCTGGTATCAAGGAAGAGCAGGATGATCTACAAAGGTGAGGAGCTTCTCCGCACCATTGCAATTACATTTCAGTGTGAAGTGAGAGAGTCTTTACATCTTTCAAACAAAGCAATATATTGCAACAGATGGAAGGAAGAAGCAGAGTTCCCGGCCAGACACCGAGATTTTGTATAAGTAGGAAACAACGTTACCCTTACTAATTTTTACTGGTTTAAAAATTAAGTTATTTTTAATGAGATATGTTGATCTATGTTGGCATGGAATAGGCTGTTAGTTTTGAATAAGTATGTTAAAGTAAATATTTAATCTAAGTTTTAAATATGTTAACTATCAATAGAATCCATATAAATGAAAAGTCTTTGGAGTCCTCAGAGATTTTCAAGAGTGCAAAAGATCCCAAAACTAAACTGAGAACCGCTGACCTGGTCAAATCATCTGATTGACAGGAGGAAGACAGCACCAGGATTTCGGTCTGTTTTTGAGGTGATGGCAATTTTTCAGCAGAGCCAGGAGCGAGGGCAGAGCCTTTGATTCCTAGTCCAGTGTTCTTTCCATTATATTACGTGGAGGGGAGTTTCAGCATGTGCAATTTGAATATTTCAATGCTTGTGTATTTCGCTAAGGCTGTGTCTTTGCTGGAGCCAACACTCAGGTTGTGTTAGCAATATCAGCAAAAATAAGCAACATTTTCCCATGGATCATTTATATTGTGAACGCTGGTATAGGCAAACGGGTTCTCGATGAAATTTTAAAAATAATTTATCCGAGTAAATAATTTTGATACATGATTTGGATTCATTATTTCTATCATTACCTCAGATTTGCAATCATATTCTAAAGGCCATGTGGAAGATAGTAATGATGTCTCAGCATTTGTGATCCCCACAATAAATGACACAAATGTGGTTGACCCCACGTCAAGGACAGGCCTGTTTCCCGGGAGGCTCCAGGATCGGGCCACCTTGAAAAGAATCTGGAGGCTGTTTCCCTTCCTGCTTTTGCTCCTGGGGTGGCCCAGGACAATCCTGTGGCTCACTGCAGTGACTCTGTGGCCATGCATCTGTTTTCTCTTCCCCATAAAACGGTTCCCCAGAGCATCGGGACACAGGTGAAACCTGAGCTGGGGTCTCCCAGGACAGACACAGCCTCGGGGCTTTGGGAAGAAAGGCTCCTGCCCTGTGATTGGGAACAGGGATCCCCGCAGGGGAAGAGGAGCTGGCACTGACAGCCACTGCGGATTCTCCGACTTTCTCTCTTCTCTTCCTCAGTCATGGGAGCGCTGTACATTCCCAATGACAGCATTGTAGTCACTGAGGACGAGCCTTGTACTGTCACTTGCCGCGCCCTGGGCTGGAGCCCACTCCCGAATATTTCCTGGGAGGTCGCCGTCCCCGTAAGCCAGTCGAGCTATTACTCCTTCCTGGAGCCGGGCGAGCCCCGCAGCACGGTGAGCGTCCTGGCTCTCACGCCGCAGGGCAACGGCACCCTGACTTGTGTGGCCAACCTGAGGAGTGTGCAGGCCCACAAGGCCGTGGCTGTCAACCTCACGGTGGTCCCGTCTCCATCTGGTGAGTGAAGACTCTCTGCCTCATGTCCAGGGAATTGTGCCTTCCAGCTTCTGTTTTCTGTGTGGGGCTAAAACAATGCCTGAGAAAATCACAGGGGACCTTGGTTTCTAGCTGGGGATGGTCATGAAGACAAATATCTTGTGCTGTTGGCTTAAAGATCCTGGGATCTCTTCTGCACTTATAATTCATCTTAAGGTTTTTCCCCCCCTGAATTGCACATGAAAACCATTCAGAAGTCTTGCTGATCAATGATCATAAAAGAGCATTGGATTCAGAGACAGATACTTGGGTTGAATATTTCCTCTAGCCTCTACTGACACTCTTCCAGGTCGGTCCCACTCCTGAGGAGAGGAAGCAGGTCCCAGTGTTGGGGAGGGTGTTCGGGTTGCCTTGGGAGAATCACGAGGTTTGATCCAGTTTGCCCAGCAAATCCACGATGCGCCATGTTTCCATCGACTGTTGAGCTGGACTGAGGGATATGACTTTCAAGTCTAGAGCCTTCAGTGGGATCTACATGGGGTCCTTGACAGGCCAGAGACCCTAACCAGCACCTTGCAGAGCCTGTGAGCTCCAAGTGGTTGGGCGGATGGGAGTGCAGGGGCGGTGGGGTTTTGGGTGCTCAGCCTGGAGACTCTCTTTCATGCCTTTGTTTCACAGAAGACGGAGGGAGATCTGGAAAAGTGCTCTAATCAGGAGCACTAGCTGGGCGGGGCAGAGTGAGCCCTGGAAGCTAAGGAGAGTTTTTCTCTTGGTCCAAAGCTTTTCCCACCATGCAACCACCAGTACTTGAGGGTTTTCAAAGGTCAGAACAAAGATCTAGCCAAAGCAAAATAATAATAATCATCCAATAATAAACAGCACTTTCCAACCACAATAAAGGGGCACTGTCCCAAGCACTTCCCAAGTATTTTCACCACTGTGACCAAAAGACCTGACAAGAACAATTAGAGGAGGAAAAATTTATTTGGGGGGCTTATGATTTCAGAAGTCTGAGTCCATAAAAGTCCAATACCACTCCTTGGGGCCTAAGAGGAGGCAGAATGTCACGGCGGAAATGTGGGGCGGAGGAGAGTGGCTCAGGACGTGGTGATCAGGAAGTAGAGAGGACTAAATATACACTGGAAGGCCTGCTCTCAGTGACCCGGCTCCTCCAGCCGTACCCTGTCTGCCTATGGTTCCCACCGGGAACTATCAGGGATTGATTCACTGACTGGGTCGAGGCTCTCTAACACGGTCATTCCACCTCCAGACTTTCTTGCATTTTCTCATACATTTTTGAGGACACCCCACATCCAAACAGAACCTCAAATATGAACCAGCTTCACCTGCACAGCAACCCTAGTTGCTGTAAGGTGAGGTGACAGGGACAGTGTTGACAGGATTTTGACCAGGCCGTAGAGACAGTAGACAGCAGGGCAGTCCTGGCAGTCTGTCCCTAGGATCTGACCACCCACTCCACCCACCACCGTGTGAGTGCCACTGAATTGTGTAAGGGCTTCCTGTGGCCGCTGTATGAGGTGTGGCAGATGACAGGCGGGGGCTGGGAGCACCAAAAGCAGGAGGTCACTGTCTGGTCCTTCTGGAGGCTGCAGTCCCAGGTCAGGGTGTCGCAGGGCTTGTTCCTCCTGAGGGCTGGGAGGGAGAATCTGTTCTGCTGCTCTCCCTTCGTTTCTGGTGTTGGCTGGTGGTCTTTGGCCATGTGTCTTTAGCCATGTTGATGGAACTCTGCCTTCAGCTTCCCATGGTGTTCTCCCTGTGACCAGACCCCCCAGTCATATTGGACCAGGGAGTCGTCTTACTCCAGAATGACCTCAACTTACATCTGCAATGCTTCTCTTTCAAAATAAGTTCCCATTCTGAGGGATTTAACGTGAGTTATTTTGGGGCACAGTTCATCCCATAACAGGAATCTCTGAACCTATCAAAAACTCTTCTGAGCCTAACCTGTTGTAAGCACCCACCATCTGTGCTCCATGCTACGTGGATTGATCCCCAGGGCAGTGTTTGCTCACTTTCCTGATGTAAGCCTTCTTGTTTCCAATTCGGCTGTCCCCAGAGACCAGGCAGACAACAAAAACGAACACAGAAATGAATATATGCATCAGCTAGAGGATGGAGTCGTAGGGGAGGGGGGGAACCAGAGCACACTTGCCCCCTCCACACAGAGCAGCTCACACCAGTTCCAGCCGATTGTTGCTGAGGGTATGTGGACCCAGTACTGCCAGCCCTAAGTAATCCATGACAAGGTAGAAATCTGGAATTTTATGTGAATTTCTGTGGTTTTTGAATGTTGTAGCTTCTTAAACCATTTGGTAACTCTGTAGGCTAAGCAAACACAATGACCATAAGGGGCCTTGTACTGTCCATTCCCCAGCCCTGTGTGATGTCTCCCTGTTTAAACAGGCCCTCACTCCGTCACTCGGAGGTCTATGGACTAGGAAAATGGTACTGCAGAGTCAAAATTTATCTCCAAGAGAACTAACTTGTAGCTATTATTTTCCAAATTCCAAGGAGCAGAAGTCTATTACAAGGATCCCTCCTCCTTTTCCCTCATCTAGAAGGTTCTGGAAGCCCTTTGTTCTGGAATAAGAAAGAGCAGGAGAGAGGCTCACAGGGGCAGCTGTCTCCCCTCCTGCTTGTTTGGGTGCACACACTCCAGCTCTTCCTGAGCTGGCGGTGGGATGTCACTCTGGGTTGCTTAGGCCTGGTTCTGGTGCAGGCAGTGTTTCCAGGGCCGGGACATGAACCTTGTGTTTCTTGGAACTTCAGTCAAGGCTAGCTTATTCTAGCTGATTAAATTCAAGGAAATCTAGCTTTTCCCTACCAAGACAGTAGGTGAGGATAAGCTCGAATCCAAACCTAGTTTGCTTTTCTTTCTCCACCTTACGTTGAACATTCGTAAAACCTTGACAGTAGTTGTGGGGACGGTATAGGGGATACCCAAGTTTCTTCATCTGGGTCGCTAAACGTTCCCTAGATGCTCGCCTCCCTCCTTTTCTGTCCCTCTACCTTCCCCCAGAGTACCTGAGAGTCACCTGGAGATGGGATGACACTGTGTCTGTCATACAGGGAGGCCACTCTCCCACATGACGCCACGTGGTTGGCTACCAGAAAGCTTGACCTTCATCCAGGACCGTTGCACAGGATGGGGACTGTACTTCCAGTATCTCTGATAATGTAATATGTAGTGAGTCGTGTCCCCCAAACTGGAGTCAGCTTCGGGTGTCAGGGCTTCCGTCTCCTTGAAGTTCAAATGGCTCCCCGAACTTTTTGCCTCTCAGGGTCTAAACATTTTTGAAGGGTCCAGTCTATTTCTGAAGGATTCTCCCCAATTTGGATTTTTTTTCCTAATTTTTCCCCAGCATACTTTGCAGTAGGCTAAATATAATCTTGCAAGATGTAGGTAATGCCACATGGGCACACGGGGACAGTGTTCTCTATCATTGGTAATGAGTATGTCTGTCTGGTTAAGGTGGCATCTCCTGGATCTCTCCAGTGAAAAGCTACCCTTTTGCCTTAATAATTCACGTCGGATCCATGCACACTGTGGGAAGGCGCTGTTTCTCTACAGCCTTCCACCTAATAACTTTTGCATTTACTGCTAAGTCCCTGCTGGATGTGTTATTTCTATGCTGGCTGTAAACCAGCCTCTCTATATTTAGTTGTTGGCATTCTTTTGTAAAGAAGAGACCTTCTTTTCTTCCTTTCGTCTCTCTTTTCCTTCCTGTTTTGGTATGGACTCATTTTTCCCAATCCGTTGTATTCTACTCTTGTCCTTATTCCTTTTGACACTCAGCTTGGTCCCAGGGTGGCCTGCAGGAGTCCTTTCAAGCTGTCTTGGTGTCTTTTTGATGTTTCTCTCTTACTTTCTAAGCACTTGGTCCAGTCAGTGTTCCAGACTCACTCTGCACCTCCGTGTCCCAGCCTGGAATCGGCCACGTCGGCACGGAGCTGACCAGCTTGCCTTTACGCTACTTAAATATGGTGAAGTCTGGTCCAGGCTTTGAAAGGAAGACTGGAAAAAAATGCATAAGCCTTCTGTATTCTGTAAAGAAGTGTCTGTTGAAGCACGCAGTTTTCAGGGTAGCAGGGCAGCCAGGAGCTCTTGCAGGACCAATGGTACCCTATGGAAAGGGATTTTAGAGATTAGGTAGCCAGCAATTTTTTTCCTGCTCTAGGGGCAGGGCAGAGGGAGGGCATTTAATGTCCCTTGTAGGTTGACTCAGTGAAATTCTGCAGGGACCAAACAAGTGCTTTACCTTCAGTGGCTAGAGGCAGGACGGCTGGGTAGGAGGTTTAGTGGGTGGGCGGCAGTGAGTCTGTCCTTATTGGACTCATTTGGAAAAGGGTCATTAGTTTCTAAATTATTCATCCAGGTCTGGAGCAGCTGGTGCTGGCAGTGTGTTGTGTGTTTTGTGCAAGTTTTATTGGCGGAAGTCTCCGTCCCAGCCTTGGCTGGTGCAGCTGGCCCGAGGCTGCAAGTGGCAGAGCCAGGTTTCCAGGGAGCCGAGAGGGATCAGCTCTGCCTGTCAGGCCTCTTCAGCATCAGTCCTGATGCCACTTCCCCAAGCACAAGGAATCTGTTCTCGTTTCTGGAGTGATCCCTGTCAGTCACTGAGGGAAGGACAGCGGCAGCAGAGGAGCTTGGAGCAGGTCAGGCCATGTGGCACGGAGTTCTTCCTACTGGTGTGTAGCCCAAAAGCCTTCTTCAAGAAAAGTGAATTGCAAGGCGAATGCTCACCTTCAGAACTGTTTTATAAAAGCTGATTTTCTTGCTGACAGAAGAAACAGAAACTTAGAGTATCACGGACATCCTTGAGACAAGCAAGCCACAGCCCTCTCGCCCCTGTCTTGAGACGCTGTGGGCCTTCATGCCACTCTGGGCTGTTTTCTTTTTTTTAAATTTGTTTTAATTAGATACACCTGACAGTACAATGATCTTGACATACCATACATTTGAATCTCTGGGTTGTTTTCTTTGCATGTGTCTGTATACAGCTTGGGAAAGGATGGAGGTGACACATGACCGTCCCCGTAGGAGGGCGTGACTCCTGTCCACAGTGCATGTCCACGGAAATTCAGGGGCAGAGAAGGGCGGTAGGCGTGGCAGTCCCTTCGCTCTGCAATAATGGTGTGATTCCAGGCTCCGGTGTCTCACCTGTGACAAGGGCAGGAGAAGAGCAGAGCGGTTCTCCCTTCCTCTGTGTGTCGCTCACCGGAGGAGCCTGGACGCAGACACTGAGGCTCAGGCCTCTCCCCAGAGGCTCTGGTTTAAGTGGTCTTCTTGGAGCCTGGAAATTAGGATCTTAAAGTTCCCAAATCATCTGTTGGGCACCCAGGGTCTTGGGACACTGTTCTAAAAAAAAATCTCCAGGTGCCCGCCTTCCACCCAGCCTTCAGGAGCTGTGATCCATGCAGGTTTGATCATCAGCCACGGGCTGCCCCGGCTCACTCACTAGACAAGTGGCCGCTGGTGGTGGTAGAGGGGGTGGGCTGAAGCGCCTGCAGCACCGGGGTGGCCTGCCCAGGCAGGACGCAGAGCCAGGGCTGGCGTCTCACTGGTCCAGTGATCCCCAGGGTGCCTCCGGTTCACCAAGAAGCGTGCTTTGTACATGGTGGCGGGGAGATTCTGTATGAACACAGTTGGCTTCAGGAAATTCTACGCAGCCTTTGACAACTGCACCTTCCTTTGGGAGCACCTGGGAGATAACATCTTCCAAGATGGAAAGAAAGGAAAAGGACACTCTTGAGGCTGAGTAAAGCCCGTCTTAGGTCAGTCACGCAGCCCCCGCCGTGGTGTGGAGACCCTAGGGAGGGAGGCGGTGCTGACCGGGAGAGGGCCTCTCAGGCCCCATCTGTGGTCGCTCAGGTATGGCACCTCTCTGCCAGCGAGCCTACCACCCTGGAAGCAGGCACACCCCAGACTTCTTAAAGACGTGTTTATTTCACGTCAGGCCTGGGTGGTGACTTCCCAGGGGGATTGGGGTAACTCACGGCGGGCTGCGGGGTGAAGGACGAGGCTCTCCTGTGTCTTATCCTGGATAAGACTGTTCCAAGACTCTGTGTTTTCTGGGCACCTTTATGATTTTTTGATTTATCAATATATGACTGTTATTATTTATTTTTTCAATCTACCATAATTGTATCCATTTTAAAAACTGGCCTTATACTGAACAAAAATATCCAGTGTGTATATGATACATGTGTACATATACAAACACACACACATGTCTACACATGTGTGTAACATATGAAAAATAAGATCATCATTAAAACAAAAGAGGTTAACCTGTGGAGCTCCAGGACGAAGCCCTCCCCACCCCGGCTCCTGTACAAGGCTTTGTCCTCCCCTGAGTTAGAGGTAGACTGGAGCTCAAATCTCTCCCAGGTGTAGACTTCCAGCAGCATGTGGTCACCACCAGTAGAGAGCCGAGGAACAGCCTTCTGGTTCCTGAGGCCAGTTGCCATTTGGTCAGAGCTGGGGGCTTTTGGGCAGGCATCGCCTGGCTGACTGGTGAGCTAAGGAACAAGGAAGTGGGTAATGCCAATATGGTCCACTCTCCTCCTTGACTCTGTCACCAGTCTCTGCAAGGCTGCTTCCCCTCCTGCAAACAGGCACGCCCAAGGGCACTCCCAAGGACACAGCAGGCAGTGGCTTCTAGGTCAGAGGAAAGGCTGTTAAGCCTGAGCTGGCAGGGGGGTGGGGAAGGCCACGGCATGACGTCTTAGCAGGTAGGGGTCCTGCCGATGGCTGACATACTGAGCCAGACCTTACTGTTTAACCTGAGCCAGCTCCCTTATTGTGAAAACGTGTCATATTTGCAAGCTGAGTTTTGTAAGAGCCCATCAAACTGGATGGATGCAGGGTGACAGTGGCAATCTCAGACATGTGCCTTGGAACTTAGAGCCTCCTCAGAACCTTCCCACACAGTTTTTGAGTCTCTGGGCCAGAATTGTTACTGGTGAGTGAGATGGAGGCCAAAGGGGACATAGCAGGTACACGGTGGCATGAGACTGACTGGCTACCCCAAGTCAGGCCCCAAGAGAAGCCCGAAGCTCTTGTCAGTCATAAACCTTCCCCACAGTGCTGATTTTCAACCCCAGATTGAGAACAGATTGATGAAGTTCTTGACTTCATCCTATTCTAATGGATTTGTGGGAGGGGGCATAGGGGAGCACCCTCTAATGAATGGAGTCACTCTTGGGCAGTGTTTTAATTTTTGTGACATACCAGGGATTCTCAGAGTGTGGGTCCTCAGCCACCTGCATCTCAATCACTTGGGACACTATTCCAAATCCCTTGATTCTGCACATCCTACAAGCATTCCAGAGGATTCTTGGGGTTCTTCCATCTGTGGAACGAGGGGATGATTAGCTTACTCTCTGGAAATGAGGAGCTTGTGTTAGTGTTCCAAGTCTGGGGGTGGGAGGTATGGTAGAAGAGGGTATAATTCTATCCTCTCCCCATCCCAATTTTTGGGGGCCCTTTTCTTGTCTTTTTCTGTCCTATCTCATTTCAGAAAGATGATGAGTAAGGTGGATAGATGACATTAGAAAAACAGTTGACTTTCTCTACATTCCTACAATTCTGTTCTGAGCATCCCAATATGGACAGAAAGGTGAGTTCTAGGTATGACTTGGCTACAGCCAACTGCCTGACTTCTCTGTGTGGAGACAGAAGGGAACTCAGCATCTTAGTCATCCATCCATCCATCCATCCATCCACCCATCCATCCATCATGCCTAATATGTTCCAAGTGCTTGGAGTATAAGAAAAATAAGTCAGTCCTTGACCTTGAGAAAGGTAAGTCCTGTTTGGACATCATAAGCTATATAAGAAGAAATGGAAGCAACAGTTGAATTCCTCAATGTTTGATAGGACAGTAAATGTGAGGTGTTCAAAAGAGAAACTGTCAAAATTATTTTAATATTTCTCAATTTCCTAGAAGAAAAATTAAAAAAAATCCTTTACAGACAAAGCAGAGAATCTTTGTGTAGGAAGGCAAGACACATTTTTTTTATATTATATAATTCTTCAATGTATAGATTTCCCAGAATTTCAGCTCTTGTTTTTAGACAAGATGTAGATGATTCTGCAGCTGGATCCTGACCTGCCCATGAGTCAGCCTCCAGGTGTTTGGAGGTGTTAGACCCAAGGCACAAGTGATCATCTCTAGCCATGCCACACTCGTTCTGAACATTTGGCACAGACATGGGAATGGCAAACTATAATTGCAAGGTCAATTTTCAAGGAAAGCTCTAAGGAAGAACATCCAAGAGTGATTTTCAACTCTGGCCTTTGGTTCCAAAGTGCTGAATGACCATTAATTTCAAAGCCAACTCCATGTTCCTTCAGAGGAAGCCTCTGTTTTAATATTTTCTGATGTCTAGCCTCTAATAAAGTAGCACATGTTTACATCAAGATGCAACTCACTCACTCAGGGCTGAGTGACAATTGTTTGTCTAGAGCAGTTCACAGTCGGACAGTGGTGGTTTGGCTTCCATGCGGCTTGGCAGGGAGAAGCGAAACGCTGGACCAGGCCCTCCTGGGAGCATCATGGCCGTTCCCACCAACCATGGGCCGGTCATGCTGCCCGGTAGGACTTTCTGTCATGACAGAGGTATCCCATAGCTGTGGTAATCAAGCACTCACGATGGGACAGTAACGGAGGCACTGAATAGTTAATGCACCTAATTTGAATGAATTAAAATTTGAATTTGAATAACAACATAAAAAGCCGGGATTGGAGACCTCTGAAACATGGCAGCAAAAACTCAAAATAGCCTTTTTCTCTCTCTCCTGCTCTGCCCGCTTCCTTTAACTTCCTGCCCGTTCCTCCTCGGCTGGCCATTTTTCTCTTGTGACCCGCTGACTGCCTGGTACACCCAGAGGGCAAAGCAGTCCCCAAGGAGGGCGGCTCCTGAGAGCTATGGGAAGGCAATTTCAGCCTGAGAACTAGATCCTGAAGGGGTCTGGGTGGGGCTGCTGCGAAAGCCCTGCACTTGGCTTCCTTGGCAGTGACCGGCTCTGTTCCTGTCGGCTCTGGAACCTCAGAGAGGCCCCCAGGAGCGAGACCCCCATCATTCTCCAGTCATGCCCGGCAGCAGCTGCTTAGGATGATCCTTGAGTGAACACAGAAGGTGCGGGTGTGATGAGAGTCTTCCGCCCCCGGCCCAGGCTTTTGCCTCTCAGGGCGTCAGGTGCTCCCAACTCACACCTGGGCTGGGTTCCTCAGCAGTTATTTATGGATAACAATCAATATGAGGATGGAGATGCTGACCAGTGCTGACTAACCGAACTCACGGAAGGGATGCTGGCCTCTGGTGCCTGGCCACAGCAGGCTCCCTGTTGGCATTAGTGGAAAACAGACTGTAATACAGAGCGAGGCAGAGTCCGCGATCCGAGGCAAAGCTCACTCAAATGTCTCCTCTCCTTTCCACCCTGCAGACAGCATGGAAAAGTCAGGTGCATCATTGCCCACCTGGGCCATTGCTCTGCTAGCAGTGTTATGCGCGTCCGTGTTTATCCTGATAGTTGTTCTGATCATCGTTTTCTGCTGCTGTTGTTCCTCTCGGAGAAAGAAAAAAGGTAACTTTTTCCTGTGTAAATTTTTACGTAGTTTTGAAGTTTGGTATAAGCAGAGGAAGCTGATGAGCTCGTGAGCTCTTTTAAATGACCCACTGAGGGCGAGCAGATAGAGCTTCCCACCTGCAAGAGTGGCTATTGTCATCTGTCATTCTATTGACAGATGGCCAGTGTTGGAGACAGTGTGGAGAGAGGGGCCTTGACCACTGGTGGGAATGCAAATAGGAGGGGCCATTATCGGAACAGTGGGGGGGGCAGCGCTCAGACAAAATGAAGCCCAGGGCCTACTGGGTATGTACCCAGAGAAAGCGGAATCGGGATGTCCAAGAGATGCCTGCTCTCCACGTTCATGGCAGCACTATCGTTAGCCAAGAAGGGGAAACTGTCCAAATGTCCGTCCATTGAGGAATGGAGAAAGAAACTTACACAGAGTCCAAGGGCAGCTGCCAGGTGGGGGCTGAGGGGATGGGGACACGTAGGTCCAAGCAGACCAGGTTTCAGTCAGCCAGGTCGGATGAGTTATGGAGATCCATTGCAAAGCAGGTGTCTGTGCTCATCATACTGCATTGTGTGCTTGGAGATTACTATGAGAAGAGGTTCCAAATGTTCTCACCATAAAAAGGTGATTAGACGTAAGAGGCAAAGGATGTATTGAAGAGTCTTTAATGAGTTCACGATGCACACATGTCAAAACGTCATACCACACGCTGGAAGTAGATACAATTTTAACACATATAAAACTGATGTATCTATAATAGATCAATATCAGTTATACTTAATAAAGTTGGGAAAACAGTAACAAAAAATGAGACAAAACGCAAAACAGAAGAGCCCTTGACTCCAAAGCCCTTGGAAGGAGCTGGAGAGATCCCGGGGAAGCTGAGGGTCCTCTGGGAAGGAGCTGATCCGTAGGAGCTGTGGGGTCTTCCCTCTGTCGGGAAGCCAAAGAGGCAGCGCCTTTCTCACCAGAGACACGGATTATTTGAATTTTGTGCTTATTTTCAAGGGTATGTAGCTACTGTGATGCGTCCTTGAATGCTGTAGTTTTTTTAGGATAAAACCTACCTGTTTGGGCACATCAGAAAGTTGTTTCCTGTTGTGTGAAGTTAAATTTCCCTTTGCAGGAAAATATTAATGTACTGGTAGAAAGAAAAATAAGGTCTCCTGTTACATTCTGGATTTCCCCATGAGGATGATTTCAATGCTTCAAATGACTAAATATAATTTTTTTCCCCCCAAAAGTATTTTTGGTACCTGCAGAATTCTCCCTGTGCCAAGTGGTTGACAGTGGAGTGACTGAGAGGGACCCAGCGGAGTCCTAAAGAATACAGGCTTGAGAGACAGGCGTGGGGACTCGGTCTGTGGCTTGTGACTCCCCATCTTCAGATTCTAGATTCACTGTAGTTCAAGGGTCCATTGATTAGAGATATTAGCAATTTAATGACAGCTTTGGGGGTACGTGTGTATATACCAACCATTGGCGCAAATGAAACTGAGAGAAAATGTATCTTAGGATAACGTGAGAGGGTAATGCTACTATGGTAATATCTAGTCTATTAAATTTGGTGACACTAATAACTACTCTTGGGTTGTTGCAACAATTAAATGAGGTGATGCTTTGTACAGTTCTGCCCTGGGGCTCATACATTGTCAATACTGATGGATGACAGTGGTGATTGGTGGTGCCGGCACTTCTTGTTGAAGGAGTCTTTTATAATATTGGTAATCAAACTCAGAATCACTGAATACTAATTGGATACCCACTATCTTTCAGGTTCCTTAGGTTTACTTATTTTTCTATTGGTTAAGAGTGAATTCTGCCTTCCTCATTCTTGGAAGCCTTTGGATGATTTGGTGTGGGGGTCACTTCTTAATGCCTGCTGGGTCACCCATACTAATGTGAGGGTTAGTAGAATCTGGGCGTCTGTAACAATCAGTGAGATTTTGTTTTTAAAACTAGTATTCTGATTTTTCTATTTTTTTTTTTTTGCAGAGTCTGTTTACCAAATTAAAATAAGGTAAGTTTGAAATCATGTCAGTTTTTTGAAAACCAAGCGAACTACCACCACCACCAACAGCACACATACCCATAATTGTGCCATTTTAGGGTTTGTGTTACTCAAAATTAAGTCCTGAAAATAGGCGACACGGCAGAGCACATGTGCCAGCCACAGACTCCCCGGGCGGCCCTCGGGGACCAGCGCAGGGTGGACGACGGCTGCCCGACTTGCTCTGGCTGCTTAGGGCTGGAGCAGACGTGTTGGTGCCTGGCATTTGCAGCTCCTTCCACAAGAGGACACTGTGCACCAGGACTGTCCCTCCTGTTCTCCGTTGAGGATGGGGACACCAGAGAGAGTACGCTGGGATTTCTGGGGCGTTGGAAAGCCAGGCCTCCAAGAGCTGCAGGAGGCCCTGCTCAGGAGCACAGAGGAGGCAGCACAGGAGGCAGGACAGAGACTCCCCTCCTGCCCACACTGTCCAGCAGTAGCTGCAAGCACTGTAAAGGTGACCGTGTCGAGACCCACCGGAGCAGTGCCCACCAGTGTGGACGCAGCACTCGGGCAGGCAGCAGTGCTCTGAGGGGGGCGCTGTGGACACGGGTGGCTTCCCTGCGGGGCCCTGACAGTCGTGGCCAGCTGTCGCTATTTACCTGTTAATGCTAAGATTTAGACTATCCCTGGCTGCACTCAGTACAGTGGACAAATGGGTGTCCTCAGGAAGGGACAGGTGCTATCCATCTCCCCCCGCGGCTGGTGATAATGCGGTTCTGAGAGGCGCCGTCTTCTGAGGACGCCACCGTGGAGCATCTGAAGACAGGTCCCCATGGGGCCTGACTTAGGGGAGGGAGGAGGAAGGGACACCACCCTGATAACCTTTCTGGCCTCTTTTCCACTCTGCCCCTCAGCGGGACCACAGCATGGAGGCTGGCCTCGCCGTTGTTGACCATGGCCACATCTTTGGTGTCTGTTCGGGGGCCTTAGGTGACCTCAAAGCATAGTAAGATGATCAAGAGCCATTGAAGGTCCTGGGCAGAGAGCAGCCACAGCCACAGTGCAGTGACCGTGGGTCCACAGGACAGCTGGCCTTGGCTGAGGGCGTCCCACGCACGTCAGCTTCTGACCTCAGCCCTGTGGAGCTTTGCAGTCTGGATTCTCACAGTGGCTTTACGAGGCCACTTTTTTCCATTTCGTAAATGAGGACCCTGAGCTAGAGAGGTTAAGCAACATTCCTGACGTGTCCCCTGTGGGCGGGGGAGGGTGGGAACGAGAACAGGGCCGCCTGGTCCAGGGCTCAGGTCCAGTCCTGTGTGGGCTGCTCCCGTGCTGGACCAGGCTCCCTGTCCGGAGGTGAGGACACGGTAGCTCGCTCGCTGACCAGGGTCTCCTTCCAGTTGTCCCCGGGGCTGACTCCTGCCATGCACGGCACCCTTTGCCTCAAAATCACATGTGCGTTTTAAAGTTTTTAAAATAGAGTCAGTGCGCGTTTATGGTAGACAACAATTAAACAAATATAGGTATAAGAATCGGTGTTCAAATCCCTTACAGCTCCGCGACCCAGGGTAATCATGTCTTCTACACATGTGTGTACCTACGGGCACACGTGTTCACATATGCACACGGGTGTTCACATGCACACGCACACAGTTATTTTATAACTTGCTCTTTTCATTTGACTCCATCTGGAAGTCAATTTTCTATCAACAATTATTTGTCCACCATATATATATATATTTATATTTTTGTACCAGGGATTGAACCTAAGGGCACTTAACCACTGAGCCACATCCCCAGCCCTTTTTATGTTTTATTTGAGGCAGGGTCTTGCTAATCTGCTATGGCCTAACTAAATTGCTGAGGGTGATGATCCTCCTGCCCCAGCCTCCCGGTGCGGGGTGGCAGGGTGTCCTCCGCCCTGGGCTTGCCCACAGCATTCTTGTTTGTTTGATGAAGTCTTAAATGGTCGTGTGACTACAGAAAAGGGCACAGACCATGCCCGTGGGGCTTGGCTGGTGTTCACAGGGCACTTGTGCCAGGGCTTGGCTGCTGAGATTCTGAGCTGGAACATCCTCAGTGTCCCGAAAGTGCAGCTCAGACCCCGTCAAATTGTTGTCTGCCCCTTGTCACCAAAGGCAGCATTCTCTGGCTCCGGTCCCCACATCCCCAGACACTAGACTCCTGTAACTGTCACAGAGTGGACTCATGTCACGCGTACTCATGCACATCTTCCTGCTTGAGCTCCTCACTCGGGCTGAGCCACACTGGCGTGACATGTTGATGGCGTGACAGTTACACAATGTCACCACAATGTCACGGTGTGCAATTTATTTTTCCCCATGGCTTTAAGTGGGCGTTTGGGTAGTTTCCAGGTTGGGGCCGTTCTGAATGGAATGGCCCCTCTCTGAGCGGCTCATACGTCCTTTTGTGAACCTAAGTGCCCACTCCTGTTTGTCCTTCTGTCAGGCGCACCTCTAGCAGAGAGCCCTGGGCCACAGGGTAGGCCTGACTTCCGCCACAGCCTCCAAAGGAGCTGCTCCAGGGTACAGGGCCCCCAGCAGCTCTCGAATGTCCTCATCTGTCGTGAGTTTAGCAGCAGCGTGGAGACATGTCCTAGAGACACTCGTCATTCATTTTACCAAGTCCCTGCTGCTGGCCACCTGGGCTGTTTATGGGTATTGCTATTATACATAGCCCACGAGTAATACTCTTTCTAGAACTAATTCTTAGACATTGAGTAACGTATTCCAAACTTCTGAAGCTCAATATTTCTGATTCTCCCTCTAAGCATTGCCAGACCTGGTTCCCAGCATGCTGCCCCCCTTGCTGTATTTCCGAGGTTGGCGCAGGGTTTCCATAAAGGGCTGCATTGTAAGCGGTTTGGTTTTGCCAGCCATCTGGTCTCTGTCACAACATCCAGCTCTGCTGTTGTAACACGAGAGCAGCCCCAGACCACACGGTGGCCTGTGCACAGGTGTGGCCGTGTTCCAACAAAACTGGTGGCTGCTGTTACTGACCCCTGCTTGACTCGGTGGTTCCTGAGAGTGGACACCAGGTGGGTCTCATGAGGCCCACGGGGCTCTGGTGAACAGATTCCATCCCTCCCGTCCTGAGGACGTGAACTTGCGGACCGTGCGCACCTGCACTGTGAGCCAGGCACCTGGCTGAAGCTTTCCCGGGGCGGGACTGCATGGGAGGCTGAGGGTAGCCAAGCAACCCGGGTCTCCGTGGCCGACTAACATGTGACTTTGTAAAATGTTCTACTTCTAGGAATTCTGAAAAGGACAACACAAAGAAAGGAACTTCTGAGACAAAGTTAAAAAATGAAAATGAAAACTATGCATTCAGTTCAGATGAACCAAGGACCACCCGTGAGTAGCTGGTGGGGCAGGAGAGAGGCAGCCAGGAGACGGTGCTGACGCAGGGCTGGCCGGCCGGACGCCGCTCCTGGGGAGCACAGCAGCCACAGCAGTAGCGAGTTCTTGGATAATGTTTAGAAGGAGAAAGTCTATAATCGGGAATATTCTAGGACTAGGTTATTAGTAAAATCCACCTGTTTATCTGAAACTCGTCTTTTGGGTTCTTTCCCCAGGATTTTTCTATAAAGCCTTCTGCTTTAAAAAGTGTGGGAAGGCATTTTAATCCTTTGCAGGAAGTTTTCTCCAAACCCTACCAGACCCCGCCACACTGACACTTGGCAAGTAATCTGTGCCCATTGGTTGGGCAGGGTGTTGGAGAACGGGGAGACCCCCTCCACTTCTGAAGCATCGTTCTGATTATCTCATTTTCACAGAGGCTAATGGGTGGCAGAATCTTTGAAAGCTGCCTACGGACAGTAGGATTTGTAAGGCTGATGATAAGGAAAGTTAGAACAAATCCCGCCCCAGCAGTCTTCGAGGAATACCCAGCAGAACAAATCCCACGGGAAGATTTTCAGCCATTCAACCCGTGATGAGGATTTTTATTCTTTTTTCCTAAAATTGGAACTCTATCTTCAGAAACCCCCATTCCAAATAGTAGGCTTCACATCTTAAATAATTCTACAAAGCACAAATAGCTTCCATTTATAGTGTAACCACAACTTCCTGCAGTTTCTTGTGAATGTTTATTCATTAGTACTTTGAGCAATTAATCAAACATCTTGACGAAAATCTTGGCTGAAATCTAAACCTCTATTTTTTTCCCCCCATTTGCCCTGTGTATATTTTTCTTGGTCAGCTATTCATCTTGTCTCTAGATGAGGCTATTATGTCAAGAAAGGAATTGATTTTAAGTCAGTTTTTAAAATATTTTTATTTTACTAAAAGAATACAGTTCTAAAATTATATAATCTCAAAGGAATTTTTAAAAACAGTATTTATGGTTGTATTAGCTTTCCGTCACTATAACGAAATGCCCGAGATGAAAAGCTTATAAAGAGGAAAGGTTTTAATTTTGTTCACAATTTCAGAAGCTTCAGTCTACATTGGATTTGTCCTATCACTTTGGTGAAGCAGCACATTCGGGAGGGGAGCACATGACAGAGCACAGTTCCTCATCTCATGGCAGCCAGGAAGCAAGAAAGACAGAAAGGGGCCAGGGTCCCAATATCCCCTTCAAGGACCCATCTCTAATGATGTCTCTTCCTTCCAAAGGCCCATCTCTGAATGGTTCTCCCACCTCCCCACAGAGCCAGGCTGAGGACAAGGCCTTTAACACACGGGCCACCAGGGCACACCCAGACTGAAACTGTAGCAATGGCTAGGGTTACTGGGTTCTGGGGCTCTACATAGGAGCAAGCGCATCTCCTTATGCATCACAGCCTTCAGTGCATGTAACTCGGTTTATTTTTTAATCACCAAACACACTGAACTCATTCTTCTATTGCAGAGATGGTGCCTCTCCCTCCCAAGTCCCGGGAAGCCCTTGCCCAGGGACAGCCGAGCAGCAGCCCTGCTCCCCAGGTGACCTGGACGTTTCTTTCTCTATCACCCTGCAGTGTGAGATTCTAAAATGGAGCCTGTTGAACGTCCACGCGGGAGGGAATGGGGGCGACCTTGAGTATCTCCTGTCCCTCCAGCAGGGCTCCAACACCAAAGCTGACGTGTGCAGTTGTCCATGAGCCCGTTTTGAGAGAAGGTGACTTGGCTGGGGGACGGGCCAGCAGGGCCAGCAGAATCACAAAGGCACACAGCTTGCCGTGTGTTCTCCAGGACTTAAGTCAGCCCTGCTGACCTGATTACCTGGCCCCACAGGGTCACATCTGTACTTGCACCAAGGGTACTTGGGTCATGGAAGGATGCTGGGTGCTGGGTGCAAGACATAGTAAAAGCGTCTGTCTGTGCATGAGAGATCTGTGACAGGAGCTGGGGAGCTGGGGAGGCCCTGGTGGGACTAGGGTTGAGGGGAGAGCAGAGGGGCTACAATAAATCCAGCCAGGACCACAGGACCCTCGAGCTGCTCTTACTGAGAGGAGGGATGTGGCTGGCAGAGTGGGTTTTGGGGGGAAAGAGCAGACATTTGGAGCTTGCAGATTCTGAGGTCTCACTTGGATGTGCACGTGAATCCGTTGGGAGTGCAGCTGAATTCATAAGCGTGGCTTCCAGGGCACGTCACATGCTGAGGCTACTGTTGGATGTTGAACACAGCTGGGATGGCATCCTCGGGACGGGCCAGCTGGGAGCCGGGGAGCACAGTGAGCTATCTCCGATGGAGAGTCCTTGGCACTTGTTATTCCCATGAATGAACTAGAGCTAATATGCAGAAAATGAGATTTATTTCTAAAATCACATTGGGCGTAACCGGTGCCCTTCTCTGACCTGGACAAATGCAACCTCAGCTGAGGAGTGTCTGGAGTGTTCCTCGCGGGGCCCAGGGCGCACAGTGTTCTCTCCTGCAGCTCTCGGGGAGAGCGACCCCACGGCTGGGCTGCAGACGGTGCACTGCACTGGGCGGTCCTGGTTTGCTCTGCAGCGGAGAGTTCGTTAGCCTGCAGGGATGGCGCCCGCGTGGGCCCTGGCAGAGGATCACTCTTTTCTGCGTAGCTCCTTATTGGATTGCTAGGCAGCCAGGCTGTAATTTTCCTCCTGCAATCAGGATTCAGCTCTCCACATCCATCCTGCCGGGGACCTCGCCTTCCAGGCCCTGGGGGAGGAAGGGAGTGCTGACAGATGCTCCTGTGTATCAGGAGGACTTCAGCCATGTCATTAGTGTGACCCAGGTGGCCACGCAGGAAGACATACGAGGGGACCGTGTCACCAAAGAAGCTGGGCCTAGTGACAGACTGCTAGTTCCCGGCACCAGCTCTAGCCATGTCCTTGGCTGCGTGGCAGGAAAACAGAGAGGTCAGTTCTATCCATCAAGGTCCATCTCCTTGGCACATGTATCTGCTGATGCATTTAATCTGAGAGATGACTCCGGAAGGGCTGCACACAGGTTTCCTCTGGAAGCTCCAATCTGCTGATGAAGAGGTGCAGTGAGGGATGCTGTGTGGACTCCCCAGGGCAGGGAGGAGTGGCTGTGAAGGGGTACGCCTTGCTGAGGGGCTCCACCACCCGGAGCCAGGCACAGACATTCCAAGAGCACGTTTCAGCAGCCGTTATTTCCACAGCTGCCTGTGGCCACCTTCTGTGAAGCGCGTCTGCACTGCCAGGCCCGGTGCTTGGGAGGAGATCAGGATTGGGTTGCACCAGACAATTCTCTAAAGGCAGGTGGTGTGAAACAGGGAAAGGGGAACTCTGGATGAGTCTGGAAGCAGCACTGGAGAGTGAAGTTTCAGAGTTCCAAGTGGATGTTTCTTCAAGCTTGAAGTGCTGTCTTGAGAATACACAGGGAGAGAAATTTAAGAGGTTTCTGCTAATGAGACATGCAACCAGCTAAATAATTAACTGGTGGAAAAAGAGCAGCAGTCGTGTGGAGGGGCTGTGCCCGCGGCGGGGGGTGGGTGGTAACATGCCCTGGGGTTTCCCAGGTGTGCACAAGGCTTTGGGAGCCCAGCACCTCAGCAGAGGGCATTGTGGTCCTTAGAAACAAGTCAGGACCCCAGAGAGAGGGACCGTCTTTTCTGAGCTAGAAACTGGGAAGGTGTTTTAAAGAGCTAAGTCGCACTTACAGGAGGAGAGAGCGTGCCAGATGCATACTGGAGGGACTGGAACTGGAAGCACATAGTTCCCTCCTTGGTCCAGAGAAGACCCAGTCTTCAATGTTGTCCACAGGGTCACTTGGGAGCTGCCACTTGACGGAAACATAGCTTACAGCCACAGGTCAAGGTGGCCCTGAGCTCCCAGGTTGCGGGGCCTGGCCTGTGTGGCTGCGTTCTTGCTGTGGAGGTGACCTCAGAGCTCTTTAATCCACGGTAGACAGCACAGCCCATGCCCCCTTCCCCAGGCCCTCCCCCGTTCTGCAGCTAGCCAGCTTTCTGTGGGCCAGGATGGGCAGCCGGGAGAGTCCAGAGCCTGTCTCAGTGGCCTTTCAGCCTCCTCTCTGCCCTCCTCAGGGTGACTCCAATTTGTCACAGAGCTCCCGTGCCACTGGGCGTTTCTGTGGGCCCTCTCTGGGCCCTGCTGGCACCCAGCAGCCTCCTGCCCTAGGGCAGGGTTGTGGACTGCAGATTGTACTACTTTGCAGAGACCCTCACTAAGCCTGAACATCTGTAGACCTCCAGCTGTGACCTGGCTGCAGCCTCAGTTCTTCCTAATGGCAGCTCCTGGGGAGCTCACTGGGCCAGATAAGTGGCCCGTCCATGGAGAGACGCGTGCCCACCAGCGCTGGGTGGAGCCGCCTGCTCTGCTCTAGGAGGCCTGGGGCAGGGTGAGCCTGGCTTTGTAAGCAGCAGCAGCTGCCCAGCTATGAGTGCCCTCTCTGTTCAGGCCGGTGCCTTCCTCTGCACACCTGGGTGATTCGTGGACCTGGGATTTTCAGGTGTTAACCGAGGGATGGTTGTGGCCCACCCTATCGAGAACAGCTCTGTACTATCACAGCAGGGCTCTAAGAGGAGCATGTGTGCAGGGACAGTCCCTTCACTGTGAGTCACAAGCTGTGGCGACAAGCAGCATCACTAGGACCCACTTTAAAAGTGACATTAAGGTTGGGGTCACTGCCAATGTTAAATGACTCCGTGTCACATTGCTGCTTCACTCCCCTGGGGTCAGGGACATGACAGCTTTCTCCAAAAACCCCCTATTTATTTATTTATTTATTTATTTATTTTTGAGAACCCCCTATTTAAATCAGGAGCAGCCTGAAGTGCCCAGGTCACCCACAGGACTCATCAGTGAGGCCTTGGGGAAGCTCAAACTCTTGGTCCCCCCTCTGGGCCTCCTGGCTCAGAAGGCTGGGGAGGCAGCTGGGCACCTCTGCTGTCTAGAACAGCCTGGTGTGGCTCCTACCAGCTGAGGGTGCCCCTACCTGGTGACCTTACAGCAACATGGGAAGAGGGTGGCTGGAAGGGAAGAGCGGCCAGTTGCCAAACACCAGCTCACCCCCTTTGTAACTTGGCCCTGCCTGTCGGGCGGGGGCTCCATCCTGTCATTGGCTCACTGTCCCAAGGCGTTCACGGTGCCCCGTGCTAACTGCACAGGGGAGGGTTTATTCTGGACCTCTCCCAGGGGTTGACGGTGCTTGTCCTCTTGTCCTCTCTGCCAGGAGTCATGTGGACACCCCTGCAACTAGAAGAGGGTCTAAACACTGGCTCCGTGAGTTTGGAGTCCCCAGCTCAGGGCTGCACACGGCAGGACAAGAAGCAGGTGGTGTGGCTGGGGACTCGTGACCCTTTGTCATGGACCTCAGGCCCAATTTCAGTTACAGCCTCTACTCAGCTAACTAAACATGTTCCTATTTGGGAAGGGGTAGGCACCAGCATCCTGTCACTCTTGCCCCTTGCTTTGGGTGGAGATCCACAATGCCAGAAGCTCAAGCCACCATGGAGAAGAGCAGGACGAGCTATAGCAAGGTCCCTGTCTTGTCAGACCTACAGCATCTCCTGATGCTTTCAATGTGGCCGTCCCTGGAAAACTGTAGACGTGCGGGGCTTGGCTCAGGGACAGCATGGAAAGTGACAGGCTGTGGCTGGACATTTGCCCCACAGAAGTCAGCCACGGTGGCCCAAAGCCACATGGGCAGGGTGGCTGGTGTAGGTCAGGGCCACCGACGATGCTGGGTGAGGACAGTGGGACAAGGCACAGGTTCCCAGGGTGCCTGGCCCCCAGGCTTCCTAAGGCTCCCTCCCTGCTACCCCTGTTCCCTTCTGGGTCTGCCCTGAATGTAGGAAGTTTTATTTGAGGGATGGGATGACCTTATTCCTGCCATGATCAGGTAGAAACCAGGGACATGTTTTCCTGGATGCTGGATGCCCGACCAGATTGCTTGGTCCACAGAGGTAGGTATGTGTGCATGTGTGCACGTGCTCCCTGGCACCTCTCCATCCCTGTGGTGCGTGGTGCTCTGCCCATGTGGGTGCCCTGGCACCTCTCCATCCCTGTAGCATATGGCTTGGCACATCTCAATACAGCAGAGGCATTTGGGGAATTTATTAAAGTGCAAATTCTTGGGGCTCTTGCAGACTTTGTGGGCATTTTCTCTGGACAACATTCTTCATCATGTTCTGGCATTTTAAATCATGTTCCCCCGGGATCTGCTTTGAGGAAAATATTTTCATAGACATGGGTAGCATCATTTCTAAGGCAGAGGACTCTCTGAATTCTTGGGATTTTCTTAGAATAATGCATTTGGAATCACTGGGCCTCTCGTGTCCATGGCACCAAGCTTGTTCCAAAGCACAAAGAAGTTTGAGATGCTTTTGGGAGTGCAGGGAACCAGACCAAGTGCAAGGTCATGACACTGAAATGCTTCCGCTTCCACAAGTCTGTGCCCTTGTTAAACCTTCTGTGGATCCTGAGGCACACTGTACCCAACGTGGGTAAAAACAACGGGGTTTTAGGCTATAGAGACCTCAGGCCATGCATTAATTCTAGGAAGGGTCAGAAGGGAAATAGAGATGGATTTCAAAACAGATACCAAACCACGACATGGCTTCATGACCGCTTCTGGTCTGGCGGAATCCACCGTTGGGAGGTCCAGCCGGACCAACGCTCTTCTCTAGACAGGGCTTTCTGCTGCTGAAGTGGAGTGGCCCTCATCACTGTGGCTGAAATGTGTTAGGACAAAGATGGTGAATAAATTTGAAATTTTTAATAAAACTTGCTGTTAACAGGAAAGGCAAGTTCTCTTCATTTTGACATGAAGCCATGGGGTGTGAAAACGTTTTGCATCTTGATGAGGTTTTAAAACAGGTGCCCATCTTCTCCTCTCCCCTTTCTCTGCCTCCATTCCTGATCTGTTAATTCTTCCGGTTATATTAGATGTTTTTTCTCTTTCTCTGTCATTTTGGAGGGTGACATGTAATTGTCTCAAAGCTTAGATCAAGCCTTCCCCTCAATCCCTCCTCCTGTTGAGATCAATAAATAAACTGGTGATACATTTATTTTTAAATTAATTTTAAAAATTTACATATGACAGTGGAATGCATTACAATTCTTATTACACATATAGAGCACAATTTTTCATATCTCTGGTCGTATACAAAGTATATTCACATACCAATTCGTGTCTTCATACAGGTACTTTGGATAATGATGTCTATCACATTCCACCATCCTTGCTAATCCCCTGCCCCCTCCCTTCCCCTCCCACCCCTCTGCCCTATCTAGAGTTATCTATTCCTCCTTTGCTCTCTCTCCCTACCCCACGATGAATCAGCCTCCTTATATCAGAGAAAACATTCAGCATTTGTTTTTTGGGGATTGGCTAACTTCACTTAGCATTATCTTCTCTAACTCCATCCATTTACCTGCAAATGCCATGATTTTATTCCCTTTTATTGCTGAGTATATTCCATTGTGTGTATAAGATACATCTTTTTTTTTTAATCCATTCATCTATTGAAGGGCATCTAGGTTGGTTCCACAGTTTAGGTATTGTGAATTGTGCTGTTATAAACATTGATGTGGCTGTGTCCCTGTAGTATGCTGTTTTTAAGTCCTTTGGGTATAGTCCGAGGAGTGGGATAGCTGGTTCAAATGGTGGTTCCATTCCAAGTTTTCTAAGGAATCTCCATATTGCTTTCCATATTGTCTGCACCAATTTGCAGTCCCACCAGCAATGTGCGAGTGTGCCTTTCCCCCCCACATCCTTGTTTGTCTTCGTAATAGCTGCCATTCTGACTGGAGTGAGTTGATATCTTAGAGTGGTTTTGATTTGCATTTCTCTAATTGCTAGTGATGATGAACATCTTTTCATATATTTGTCGATTGGTTGTATACCCTCTTCTGAGAAGTCTCTACATTTAGAAAACAGCAACACATCCATGCAGCCAGCAGTGGAGACAAAGGCCATAGACCATAAACATCTCAGCGTGTGCTCAGCTGAAGGCGCCATCCTGAGAGCTCTGCTGAGAGTCCCGTCCGTTCCCAGGTTCCTCCTGCGGTTGGGGGTCCATACACTAAAGCCAGGAGCCAGAGTGGCTGCAGGCTCAGGACTCACTCACATTCCAATGCAGCCTGAATAATTTATCCTGCCCAGCTACATTATTTAAGATGTTCAAGGCAGCTACCGAGCCTTGGAATCTGAGCCAGCATCCTCCGGCTGGCAGGGAAAACACGTGGCGGTGCATTTTTATAGGGCCATCCTACCAGGCTCAGGCCCCCATCGGCGGGATTCCACCATTTGTTTGTGAATGTTTCTGAATGTGAAGAGCAGAGAGGGGGCTCCTTCCTGATGGGAGCCAGTGACACCCACTGCCAAGGGAGACAGATGGGGGAACCTATTTAGAGTCAGTTCAGTCTTGTCCCCTCTCTTTTAGAAGGGATGTATGTTATTTGAAGAAGTTTAGAAATATTGTATGTGTTCATAAAAAAGCCATCTGGAAAAGCAGGAACTATTTCTATAGGAAGATTGAAAAATAAAACAAACCAGGCAATCTTTGCATTTGTAATCTACCTTCCACTGAATGAATCTTGGATTTTGGGATTGCTCTTGGACCCTGGACTTGGAAACTCCCTAGAGTGTGTGTTGTGGAGAATAACGGAGTCAAGGAAGAGCACGTTTCCACACCGTGTTCCCCTCTGCAGCCTAATGCCATCTCCTCGGGGAGCGGCGGTTCCTGCTCAAGGTTCCATTCACAGCGAACTCAACCGATTAAATCCATTCTTTTTCCTCTGTTGCCAGGAACCCAGAAAACAGCAGCCGGCCCCAGCAAGCCGTCCACAGGTCTCTTTTAACATCGCCAGTCCTCAGAAGGTCAGGAGCGCGACTTTAGTATAGCGGAGGCTTCTCTGGGGACCTGTTTTGTACCTGCTGACAAGTGACGTCACGGGGCCTCCATCCGTCTGCCAGCATCACCTGGCCCCGTCGGACAGTTGGAGCGGGAGCAGTCTGGTGTGGACAGTACGGTGGCAGGAGCAGTCTGTTTTCCCAGAGGCCATGGAGAATGTGGCCTCTGAAATGTTTCATGGTTTTATCGAATGCCTTAAAGTTTCCAAGCAGAACCCTCAATGCATCATGTTAATATTTATTGTCACTCCCACTTGCTCATCTAATAAATGGCACTGGACTCTATTCTACCACAACATTTTTTTTGTTTTGTTTATCATAGAATTTTTAATAAGATCTAAAGATTACAATAATACGTTATTTATAATTCAGAAGGTACCCCAACTTTTAAAATATTTTTATTGTTCATAAGATGGTATTTATGTGTGTTTAGCAGGGAATTATTGCAAATGATCAGGGAAGTAGGAAGAGAATGACTAGGATCACTCAGAACTCTGAATCCACTGGCACACTGGAGCTCCATGGGTTTGAAAGTCTCAGGGTCGAATGTTACAAGACCGCGGTCCTGTCTGTCTGCTCCCTGAAGACTCCTCCCACTCCTCCAGTGAGTCACCTGTGGATTCTGCCTGTTGGGGGCAAAGCTCACACATGCAACCATCACGGAAGTGATCACGTGTTCTTTAATAAACGAAAAAGAAAATACCAGTATCTCGTATTGCCTTCTTGAAGCTTTACTATTTGGGTGCTGTTTTAAAGAGTCACATGGTTAGAAATCAAGCTTTTCCAAGAAGGAACGTAGGGACTTTTGGAGAGTTCTCATCTTCACGCTTGCCCTTTGCTTCTGTGTCTTTGTCCCACTCAAAGTCAATGGGGATGTTGTGACTAGAAATGGAGGGTCTGCCTTTCCCGAGGTCCCTTTCCCTCCGGGGTGTTCAGTGAATGTCACCACCAGCTCGGCCTCTTCATGTAACCTAGAGGTAGGACTATGTTTTCCTGAGCTCTGAACTGGCCGCTACAGATTTCCATGCCAGTTGGCAATTAGCCACTGCTCGGAGGCTCCCATACCCCCAAATGTTAGTGCTAAAGTAGGACTTGACTTCTTAGGTACGTCATGATTTTAGCAAGTTCCTCAAAGTTACTAAAAGATGCAAATTCATAAAATGATGAGGTTTCTCATCATGCACCACTCTGCTTGTTAATCCTGTAATTGGCTGACAAGTATGACACCCTCATGATTTATTAAGTACTTTTATGATCTTCACTCACATTCAGCTCCTACTCTGGACCTTCTTCCATGAGCCAACGATTAGCCCAAGAACTATTCCCTAGCACTATGGCAGGTTTGTGTTCTGATTGGCTGTTGTTTGTACAGGATTCATTTTGATTGGCTGGTGTCCATATAGGCTCCATTCTGATTGGCTGGTGTCCACACAGGGTCCATTCTGATTGATTAGTGCCTATACAGTATCTATGCTGATTGGGTGGTGTTAGTACCTTACTAATTGTCAAATATCCTTTTTAAATATTACCATAGCTTAGAGGATTCTGGAAAAACGTCATCTCTTCCAATACTGACCCAATATGGGAGAATTGGCTGCCTATTTTTTAAAACTTTTTTTTGGTATACATTATAATTACACATAATAGTGGAATTTGTTACATATTTGCATATGCACACAATATGTCTATTTTTTGAGTGTAGAACTAGAATGCAAACTCTCAAATATCCTTGAATATTGCTCTAGCATGTTCCTAAGAACCCTTTCTATGGAAAAACTTCTGATTTAATTGCTTAGAAATGGTGCTCCTGTGTATTATACTGATTTATTTACTCCTTGCTGGTGTGGTTGGGTCTCTCCCTACCATTCTTGAATGGGTTCAGGAGAAGAGAAAGACAAAAAGGTTTGAGACCCTTTCTGCAGAGCTAGTGAGTGAACTTGGTATTCTTCACCTAATAGTTACCCTCCCTAAGCCATCCTAGGATCCAGACCCAGAGACAAAACAAGTCCCCCGTGCTTTGTGGCTTTTGAAGCTCCCGCAGCACCTGCCACACACAGTGTTCTGTAACTAGGACACCAACAGGTCAGTACTGAGAAGGGCAGTATCTTGACCATAGTGAGCATCTCCCACCAGCCTGCGAATCACATTTCTGCAGCTGTTTTAGGAATCAGAGAGGTTGCGCCCAAGAATACAATCGAACTTCAGGCTCTGACCTCAGGAGGACGATGCCAAGTGGTTTGTGTGGCCGTTGTTCCAACGTTGAGCTTGTTTGTTGTCTTGTTCTCATAGTATCTTCTAGTTTCTCAGATTGTGGGAGCTGTGTTAGTATCACTGCTCTTTCTTGAAGATGTTTTGTTCCCCTGAAATCATGCAGGAGCTTAATCCCCAGGTTCTTATATTAAAGGTATAAAGAGGGTGAAAACTTCATTCCTACATAATGTCTAGAAGTAAGGCCTTTGTGTTGTAATGAGATCAGATGAGGTCATTAAAGCGGAGTCTCCATGATTGAATCTTGGTGGCTAAGAAGAGGGAAATAGTCCACACAGACACACATGTACTCCCTCCATGACGTGATGCAGCCAAGGACGACCTTGGCCAGAGATTGTGCCATGCTGTTTGGAAATTTCTATCCTCCCAAACTGTGAGCAAATAAACCTGTTTTCTTTATAAAATAACTAGCTACATGTACTTTATTATAACATCAACAATAATAAAACAACAAAAACCAGATTAGTACAGTCCCCAGGAGCACATTCTTACTCAATCTTCTTATCCCAAGAGTGGAGTTTCTCAAAGGGGCCCCCTGGCTAGTTTTTATTTCACCAGAGATAGATATATTATTTGAATAGAACTCTCTAAAACCATATCAAAGCCACAAGGGACTATTTGAGTTTAAATTATTTAGACTAAATAAAATATAAGATCCATTTTCTAAGTTGCATTAGCCACGTTTCAAGTGCTCAATAACCCCATGTGGCCAGGGGGCACTGGTTGCACAGTGGAGATGATAGGTTTCTAGTGTTTCTGAGAGTTCTGCTGCAGTTCTGACCTGGAGACACCACCTTGGGAGTGACCTTGATGTGTCAAGGACGGCTCAGCTGCGCAAACACACAATCTGTGTTTTCTTCAGCATTACGACGGCACTCGCCAGTTTCTATTTAGGAATCCTGCAAACCCCAGGGCAGCTCTCAGCTGAAACTGGTGTTCTGCTGATGTGGTAAAATCATCTCTCACTTTGCAAAACTGAGAGCTGGGGCAGGCTCAGGGGGCTGAGGTGACTCCGTCACAGCAGAACGTTATGGCCAAGGTTGTTTCTCAGAAAGACTGATGGGGGCCACTCCTAATAAATGGCTGATGAGGCTCAACATTTATTTAAATGTCCCTCAAAGCCAGTCATAAATCCTAGCCAGGGAAGCCACCCCATCTGTCCTCCTGGCTAGTCGGCCAGATTCCCAGTCTTTCCCACAAGTGGGGATGGTCTAGGGTTTATTTAGAGTAGAACTCAAGCCCATGTCAATATGCTGGAGGTAAGTGGGAACCTTGGAGCCAAGTCCTTCCCCCCGGGGCCTCCTGGCCTTGGAACGCTGTCATGGGCAGTGTGTCGTTTAGATGCGAGGTGTCCCCTGAAAGCCCTGTGTTAACGCAGGAATGTTCAGAGGGGAAGGCACTGGACTGGGAGGGCTGTGACCCAGTCAGTCCACGCTAGTTTGAATGGACTGACCAGGTGGTAGCTGCAGGCAGTGGGTGTGGAGGGGCGGTTGCTGGGGAGGTCCTGGAGGGTGCATCTCCCTGTGACCCCTTCCCCACCTCTGCTCCCTGACCTCCAGGAGAGGAGCAGCACTCTGCTGTCACGCCCTTCCTCCACGATGTTCCCTCACCTCAGACCAGAGCAAAGGAGCTGGCTCACTGTGGACCAGACCTCTCGCACCATGAGCCCAAATACCCAGTCCCTCTTCTAAGCTGTCCTTTTTGGGTATTTTGGTCACAGCAAGGAAAAGTGGGCCGATGCAGGCAGGAAGCCCGGCTGCATGTTTCTAGGGGTTGGATGGCATAAAAGGTGCGTGGTGGTCGTAGGGCACAGGGACATGCTCCAGTTTAGATGCCTATGATATCTTGGGGACGGAGTCCATCCTGTGAAAAGACGGAGAGCATGCTTTCCATGACCCAGGTGAGAACTTGGAGAACCCCAAGTGGGGAAGAAGATGAGAACAAGATGGAGAGCAAGGGTCCAGGGAAGCAAGGCCCAGAGAAGCAAGGCCCAGGTGAGCAAGGACCCAGGTGGGCAAGGACCCAGGTGAGCAAAGGCCCAGGTAAGCAAAAGCTCAGGGAAGCAAGGACCCAGGTGAGCAAGGTCCTATTAAGCAAGGAGCCAGCTGGCAGGGCCCAGGACAAGGTGCACTGCGAGGATAGTCGAGACAAGGCTGATGCACAACACTGCAGCAGTATAGTAGGTGGAAAAGCTATTGCCACCCTCAGGCTGACAGGGCGGGCAGAGGTTGGACCCCTATGGAGCAGACTCCCAGACGTTGCTAAGTAGGGACACGGCCAAGTCTTGGAGACCTCGAAGGGAGGGAGCCAGAGTGCGTGGGCTCCAGCCTCCCAGTCTCTCCTCTCAGTCTCCGGCTAGTGCCTCCCGCTGACCAGACCTGACCAGAAGCCAGACGCCCCTAGAGTCCGCTGATGTGGCCTGCAGGGGCCAGTCCTGGAGAGCAGCTAGCGGATGAAGGGTGGACAATGGATGTGGAGGGGCAGGCAGGACATTAGGAAGCAGGTTCCCGGCAAGGAGGGCGTGTTTGTGGGTCAGAGGGGAAGTCGTTCGGCCTGGTGGCGATCCCCCACTTCCCTGCCTGATAGGTGGGGCCACCTACACAGAGAGGACATTATTGGGAGGAGGAATTGGGCTGCCTTGAGCTTGAGCCGCTCAGAGCCGCTCAGACCATTTCCAAATCAATAGGACGAGGGGTCCAAATGGCGGACCCTGAGGTCTCTGCAGAGCTGCTCATGCGTGTGGACATGCACAACCTGCCTGTGCCCTCACCAGTGTGGCCAGTGCTCAGGACTGTGCTGCTCCATCTGCGGATGTGCGGCCACCCCTCAGGCCTGCAGCATGGAGGGAGCTGTGTTTTTGCAGATGGTAAATATTTAATTCTCACCCGGCACAGCCTGTAATTCACGCCACAGGCGGTGATGGCCTTGGGGACCTCACCCTGCAATATTTATGAAGCAGGTGCTCCTTCCGTAGTGCAGCCCTGATGAACACAGAGGTCTCGGCAGCCCAGAGTCAC